GCGTGTGCGCGCGTGTGCGCGTGTGCGCGTGTGCGCGTGTGCGCGTGTGCGTGTGTGCGTGTGTGTGTGTGCGTGTGTGTGTGTGTGTGTGTGTGTGTTGGTGTGTGTGTGTGTGCGGTGTGTGTGTGTGTGTGTGTGTGTGTGGGCGCGCTCGCGCGCCGCCGCGCGTGTGTGTGTGTGTGTGGTGTGTTGTGTGTGTGTGTGTGTGTGTGTGTGTGTGTTGTGGTGTGTGTGTGTGTGTGTGTGTGTGTGATGTGTGGGTGTGTGTGTGTGGTGTGTTTGTGTGTGGTTTGTGTGTTTGTGTGTGTGTGTGTGTGCGTGCGTGTGTGTGTGTGTGTGTGTGTGTGTGTGTGGGTGGGCGCGCTCGCGCGCGTGTGCGTGTGTGTGTGTGTGTGTGTGTGTGTGTGTGTGTGTGTCTGTGTCTGTGTCTGTGTCTGTGTCTGTGTCTGTGTCTGTGTCTGTGTGTCTGTGTGTCTGTGTGTCTGTGTGTCTGTGTCTGTGTCTGTGTCTGTGTCTGTGTCTGTGTCTGTGTCTGTGTCTGTGTCTGTGTCTGTGTCTGTGTTTGTGTGTGTGTGGTGCCACGGGATGCCAATGAGCATGTCTGCGTGATCCAGACTGCGTTTTTACGTAGCTGTGACCTTTCAAAGAACAGCGTCATGTATGTCTTTAACTTCTTTGCCAATGAGGGCTCCCCTTCTGGGCCAACCAGAGGCAGACTCCCAGCGCCCAGTCTCACCAACCAAGCGAGGGTTCCTCCGTAACCTGGGTGGCCAGCCCAATGTAAGCCCGGTGCGCCCTGACCCTCGTGGTCCTGTTAACAGACACAGGCGCCACAGACGCAGATCCAGATCAAGACGCCGTCACCGATCTCGATCTCGTTCACACGCAGCTAGGCGACGAAGACCGCGTAGGAGAAGCAGAGTTCCACACCCACCCCCGGGCAACTGGACCCCAAGGGCACCTAGGCAGCTTGTACATGACCCGCTGGCGCCACCAACATTTTTGCCGCCGATCGGGGTACCGTCTGTGCAGCCACCTTTTGTTCAGCCGCCGTTTGCACAGGCTTTCATGCAGCAACCTCTGGAGCGGCCACCCGGTCGTTTTGGTTTCCAAGCGTGGCAAGCTCCTACGGCCCTGCCGTCCATTTATCCAGTCAGGGGAGATCAGAGGCCCGCAGAGCCAACCACTCCCAGACAGGCGCCTTTCAACGCTGGCAATGCCGGCATGCAGCCACCTACCCTTCGCGTTCAACCGCAAATTCCGCGGGTTCCTCAAGTTGCTCAAGTTCCTCAGACCCCTGCGGTTTCCAACCTGGCGATTTCGAAGATGAACAAAGCCCAGGAGGAACAAATTTTCAATCAGGTCCTTACGTGCCAGCAGCTTGAGCTTTCGCAACAACTGGAATTGCAGCTGCCAGGAATTGCAGCCGACCATGAACTGGATGAAGGGCTAACGGCCCTGGCTCAGTACATGTTCTTTCGACTGCATTATTTTGTTACTCCGCAGCCTGATCATTGGGCGATTCCCAAACATCAAGCTCTCCGCGCAATCGCTGCTCGTCGTGCTTTTGTTCGCGCTGTTCAAAGACCTTTCGATTCGCTGCAAGAACCTGAAGTGGAAAGGTGTTGTAGATTTTTGTTCTCCAGATTTGACGAAGCACACAAGCCTCCTCCGCAATCCATTGGGAGCAAGGAGTTTTTCAAATCTGGTGCATATGATATTGCAGTCGAAGCTCCATTACGAGAATCATTTCGTTCAAGATGCACACTGGTTGGTACACCACAAGCAAAATGCTTGTGTCTACACCTTTCCTGTGCAGCATTTTCCCGGACCTGAGCCTTCTGCATCGAGGTGGTACCTATGGGGCCACGGCACAGATTATACGGGTGGTACTGGCATTCTTGCGTGTGGACGGATTTTGCCCACGGATGTCAAAGTGGCAGGAGTTCCCAATGGGGAAGACTCGTTCAGGTTTTATGGGCGAGCTGCAGATAAGCCAGAGTGGCAAGAAGGCGTGCAAGAATTTGTCGCCCAACTCCACCACAGCACTAAGAACTTATTTATCGTGCAATCACACGAAAAGCAAGACCGCCTCCACAAGCCAGCGTCGGATAAACGATGGGGCGTGAGATGTGTTGCGGCCAGTGGATGTTGAGTGCAAAAGCCTCTGCAGATTTCCCACATGCCGCACAGTCTCTCACTGAAGCTGTCAAACAGCGAAACAAAATGAAGAGGCTTCAAAATTCCCCCCCAGAACTGCTAGCCATTGATGATGCCAACTGGGGTAAATGGCATGCAGAGGATTCCCAGGGGCTGAGCTCCGCTTCTCACACAGGTGTCACTGAAACGCCTGATGAAATCCGGGGGGCGCCTGGAGACATTGAAGAGTCACCTGACTTAATGGCGACCTTCGCGGATTTTCGTTGACTTGATTTCCCTTTTCTGGGATCTCACTCGATGCAGAATTCGTTCCTCAGTTGCACGCACTTCCAGAGTCACTGCAACAAACAAGTTGATGCATTCTGATACGGTTTTTCCGTTTCCTTCGATGCCTTCTTGGCTATCTCTATGTGTCAACCTCTGTTTTCAAAGAGTCTCTGAGAAGTTTCATTTCGCAGGGGGACGAGGGTCCCTTGGTGTGCATCTAACAAAGACCGCACCAAGTGGATGTGATATCAGTGCCCGGCCAGCACTGACGTACCTGCAATCATTTTCACACATTTCCACGTCGGCCTGATTCGCTCAGGTTTGATTTGATCCAGACCTCTGAACGCAGAAACATGATAGGGATAACAGAGGGAGGATTCCATGAGTGTGTGTGTGTGTGTGTGTGTGTGTCTGTGTTCAAGGATTGCTGCTTAGAGTCTTAGAGGACTTATAGACAGTCTTGCAACGGGGGTGAGCGCTATTGTGCTGTTGCGTAGGGTGCGAACCTGCCTGCCTCCCTCTCTCTCTCTCTCTCTCTCTCTCTCTCTCTCTGTCTCTCTCTCTCTCTCTCTCTCTCTCTCTCTCTCTCTCTCTCTCTCTCTCTCTCTCTCTCTCTCTCTCTCTCTCTCTCTCTCTCGTGCTTGTTCTCCGTGGGTCTTACCGTGCCTGTTCTGAGAGGCCCAATTCTGGGCACGACGCGGCTTGGCTTCAATAGACGGGAGAGACGCTCGCTTTCTCTGACGATTGTTGCTGCAGACATGCAGCTGGCTCTGAGGCTGGATGCACTGGGAAAGCATGCCATGAGTGCATTGAGCAGTACGCTAGATGCACTGAGCATTCGCCTCAGCTTTCGACAGCGACGCTGAAAGCCCGAGAAGTGACATGTGTCGTTTAAAAGATGCCGAGGCCTCAACCTCGTCAACCTTACGCAGGACAACAACCTCTCAACGTCTCACATGGCTTACCAGTGTCTTCCGTTCCGACCGAGGACCTGGGCAACTTGAGCGACAGTGGCGACAGACATGAGCCCAAAGGTGGCAAGGGCGCCGTCGCGCAGATGTTGGATTTTCTGCTGCCAGACATGGAGGCAGATGTCTGGAGCAGCATTCCGAAAGTATTCCTTCAACCATCTTCAACCCTGAATGATCTGAGCAGAGCTGCATAAGGTACCCGCTTTGATGATGTCTTGCAAGCTTTTCAAGCTTGCACTGTGTCTTACATTTTCCAGTCCCAGCCATCGTGCAATCCTGTCGGGAGCGGCATCCCGATCCTTTCTCCATAGCCATGAAAGAAGAGCAGGGCCGTTGTCGATAAGCGCTGAGAATCCGATTGGCTTTTTGATTAGGCTTTGTGTGCCTCTCTGCTTCTACCGTTGTCATTCTATCATTTTCTATCCATCTGCATCCCTTTTTGTTTCTTGCGTCTGCCTTTTGCCCTTCTTGTTTGTCTCACTAAAGGTGTGTCCAATACCCAACACAGCAAAGGGTCACAGAGCAAGACGGTTTTTCAGTTGCAGCCCTCTTGGCAAGAGGTGGAGGAGGAGGAGCCCAAGCCGTGCCCGGAAGCCAGGGGCCCAAGCTGAGATCATTCTTTGCGAGCAAAGGAGAGAGAGCTCCGCTTTCAACAGCCACATTGCGCACAGGGCACGTCTCGCGGTTCTTTGTTTCTGTGTCAGTGTGTGTGTACTCTGTGTGTGTGTGTGTACTCTGTGTGTGTACTCTGTGTGTGTGTGTGTGTGCGTGCGTGAGTGTGTGTGGCCTGTCTCTCTCTGTCTCTCTCCCTGTCTTTTGCTCTCTCTCTCTCTCTCGCTCTCTCGCTCTCTCCGCCTCTCTCTCCCTCCCTCCCTCTCTTTCGCGCTCTCTCTCTCCATCTCTCTTTTTTTTGTGGTTCCAGAAGAAGTTACAGCAAACGCGTGGCACCAAGGGTTGGGAGAGGGTGATCGGAGATGTGTACGGTGGCAACCTTAGGGCTGAGCCCATGGGCTCCTTTGTTTTGTCGGGTTGGTGCAGTCCAAGGTGGCGACCAGTTTTCTGGCAGGGGGCTTTGGTGTGAGGCTTCCAACCCCAAGCCCGCAATGCGAAACATGCCGAAGGTGGATGGCGTCACTCAGCCGAGACTGTCGAGGATGCACGGTCAGAAGTGTGTTCTTGACAGTTCCACCCTTGGCTGCCTTGGAGGATTGCGCATGGAGGTGTTTGACGCAGCCGGGATGCAAGGGCCTCAAGTGGCGACAGAAGTCCTCTCTTTTCGCATCTCGAGAGTAAAGAATTCATAGAGAATTATAATCTGAAGCGGGGGGGTTGGGGGGGTGGGGCACCCCCCCCCCCCATTTGAAATATGAAAATTAGAGAAGGAGAATTGATTTAAATTCCACCCCCCTCGTTTCTTGTGTTGTTCCCAAAAACATCTTGGATGTTCCCGTTTAGGTTCAAAACGCGAGAGAGCGATACCGGGGAATGGCGGCGCGAGGTGAAAACGGGGATGAAAACGAAGGGGGGATGAGAACGAAATGGGGGATCAGTGTCGCGGAAATCGACAGGTTTGACACGGCAACAGCAAACCACGGAAAGAGCGTCTCGGAGCTCAAACCCCTAGAGAAAGGTTCTTTCATAGAATCTAGAGTAATCTCTGATTTTTGCAATCTATTCATGCTTTTTCGCAGGCTTTCCGGAGAATAAGAGAGGGAAGAGGGGGAAGAGGGGGAGGGAAGAGGGGGAAGAGGGGGAAGAGGGGAAGAGGGGAAGAGGGGAAGAGGGGAAGAGGGGAAGAGGGGAAGAGGGGAAGAGGGGAAGAGGGGAAGAGAGGAAGAGGGGAAGAGGGGAAGAGGGGAAGAGGGGAAGAGGGGAAGAGGGGAAGAGGGGAAGAGGGGAAGAGGGGAAGAGGGGAAGAGGGGAAGAGGGGGAAGAGGGGAAGAGGGGAAGAGGGGGAAGAGGGACAGGAGGAATGCGGAGAAGGAAGACTTTCGCCGCGTCTCTGTTCAGATTAGCAGTAGAGTGCTCAAGAGCACGGCAAGGGCGTGAAATGTCCACATCACCACCAGACTGCTACGAAACCTGCCATTTGCCAAAAGCAGCGCTGGCAACAGCTGCGCAATACCAGCGCGTGCATTCAGGGCATCAGTCCACATCAGTCCACAGTTCACGTAGCGCCATGGTCACCATGTGTAGCGCAAGTGTAGCGCACCATGTGTAGCGCCGCATCGGTGTGCAGCGCAGCTGCTACAGCGAGGCGGGAGCTTCGAGTGGAGTGAGTCCAGGAAGAGGTGCTTTCGCAACAGCCCGGCGCCCTCTTCGATGCTCTGAGCTGTCTTTGAGCATGAGCAGCGAGAACGGGATAAGAGAATGATCCCCAGGCCAGACACGGCCGACACATGAGGTGGCCCCACTGTCCCGGCACACGCCGGCTCTCTCGCTCTCTCGCTCTCTCGCTCTCTCGCTCTCTCGCTCTCTCGCTCTCTCGCTCTCTCGCTCTCTCGCTCTCTCGCTCTCTCGCTCTCTCGCTCTCTCGCTCTCTCGCTCTCTCTCGCTTGCGCTCCAACTGCGTGTCCTCTCGGTGAAGCTGTTTGCATGGCAGATGTTTTCAAGGGAAAAGAGTTCCAGGCCGATCGCCCGGGGTTTGTGCATGGGAGCCCAGAAGTGTGCCAGCAGAGCACAGCAGAGACCAGAGCAGAAAGCGCAGAGCAGAAAGCGCAGAGCACAGCGCCAGAAGCGAACGTTTCTTTCTCTCAGAGGTTTTGCCGACGCCAGCCTTGCCCGAGCTTTCGGACGCAAGAGGCAGTGAGAAATCTTCCGAGAACAACATGAGAGAGCTGAGAGGGTGTCACGAAAGTCACAAGAGCACAGTCTTTCATTGCAGGGCTGCGTGGGTCCGGGCGTTTCCCCGGGCTTTTACTCCAAGGAGGTACCTGGATCTGAGTCAAACCATGTCAAGTTATGTCAAGTTTCATTGCCGCCCTATTCAGGCAAGGAGGCACCACCAAACGTTCACATCAGGAACGTTTACAATGTTTACAAGTGGTTGTGGACATATGCATTCTCAGGTACGACTGCGGCCGGGCAGCTACTGTGGCTCGACTTGGATCCGCCAACTGCTGTCCTCATTGGCTCGTGGAGCCACGGAGACACATGGAGCGACAGAGAGACTGGAAAGCTTGAGAGAGTGAGAGTACGGTGAGAGGGTGAAAGTGTGAAGGAGCTAGAGAGTGCAGCGAAGCACTTTGTTGTGCAGGTATTTGGTCCGGCGGCGCCTGCCAGGCCAAATTCTTTTGCACAGAGATTGAAGTGAGGAGTCCAGTGAGCTTGCTAAGTGAGCAGAGAGCTTGCGGAGAGCTTACGGAGAGCTTGCGCTTGCAGCTGAGGCCCCAATGGCGTGCACCGACTCGGATTGTTTTTTGCCGGATGGCGGCCTGCCGGGCATGAAACTTCCGAGGCCGAGCACAGAAAGGTCTTTCTATAAGACAGTGTTGGGAAGGGTGGAAGGTGGGAGGTAAACTAGAAGAGGCCCACCGACAAGTGAACTATTGAAGGGAACATCCCAACTCTTTGCCCTCTTGCAGTTGATCGTTTCTGATCTTTTCTGGTCAGCGGTGAACACTTCTGCCAGTCGCTACACGCTCTGGATCTCTCGCCCCGGCTTGCAGGCTTGGGGGCCCAGTCGTTTTCAAAGCACGTATTGACCCAGTGTATGAACTTCAGCAGCTCAGCATCTCAGTGCCCTCGAGGCCACCATGCAGTGACTGACTGCAACATCTGCAACTTCGGTGTGGTCCGGCTTAGGATTGGCTAGGTCAGGTGAGGCCTGCTGGTGGAGTGAACTCCTTGTCGGGCCTATACACTTAGCTTTTGGACTCAAGATGCTGCCTCAGCCGACCTCGCGGTGTACATAAACGGACGCTGCCGACGTTGGGCCGACATTGGGCCGACATTGGGCCGACATTGGGCCGACATTGTCTCACATGTCAGTCCAGAGCTGAGTGACAGTGGAAAACGCCAAGACGTAGAGACCTTGAGTTTGGACATGTTTGGACACTGGGAGATGAAGATGCCTGACGTGGGCAGCGGCATCAGAACACGTCAAGCGCGCGGGCGTCCTTTTGCTGAGTCAAGTTAGCAAGCCTTGGCTTTCGGCAAGTTAGGCGAAGATGGGCGAAGTTGCCTTTGCATGTTCCTGTCTTTTCTAAGTGTTTTCTGCTTCTTCGATTTCGCCTTCAATGCGGCCTGATGGCTTTGAGCTGCCTTGTGCAGCCACAGCGGTCTTCATCCTCCACTACGTCTTCGTAGACACTTTCGCAGTTGGGGCCGCCCGAACGCCATATCAGCTGAAGTATCCCTTCACCACCGAGACCGAAGATCCAAAGCTTCTCGAGTCCAAGCCTCGGGGTCGTTTATGTTGGAGTAAAGACGCTGGAGCACACGCTGTGGAGCAATGTGGACGTTTCTTCAATTGTGTTGACTGCATTGGTTCAGCAATGTTCCTATCTCCTCTTTCCTTGTCTCTCGACACTATCATTTTGGTGTCAGTGTTGTTACCCCTCTCTCCACGATGCCGTCCTCACTTTCTGAAATTTCTATGACAAGGACAGGGGATACCAAAACGTTGTGAGAGTTTTGTAGAGGGACATGGCCGGTCGCGGCCTGTCTGTTTCAGGCCCTTCATCCGCTCCCTACGGGCGCAGCAGAACCAGGTGGAGCAGGAGACATGCTTCCTTTGCTGTAGGACTGTAGGAATCTGTGCGACGTGTGGTCTGCAATGCCATTATACCGCAGTTTTGTTTGTTCAGGCCTGGGCATTTTTCCTCGCCATGTGGGTCTGCGCTGTGTTTCTGGACCCGATGTTTTCGGGGATCTTTGCCTGGATTTGGGTTATCGCCCGTATGGCGCCCTTCGGCAGCAGCTTCAGATGTTTCACAAGACTCACAACGTCAGAGATCCTCAGCTCAGAGCCTCAGAGCCTGCAGCCTTGAGCCTTGAGCCGAGGTATGCTTACATCTACCGCGCCTTGGCCTCCGCACCTTTTTGGCTAAAGCTTGTCTTTGAAAGCTCCAGAGCCGCCTTCTTCCTTCCTTCTTTCCTCTGTGAGGAGTGAGCCCGAGCCGCAACCGGCTCATGTGGGCCACCGTGCCGGCCTACGTCTCACAGGCCGCGGTGTGTGGAGGCGCGGAGCACAACTCAGACTAACTCTCCAATACGGACACAACTCTCACAGCTCTTCCGAAAGAGGGGCTCTCTCTTCAAAAACACTCTTCCATTCCATCTCACTTCAGCCAGGCTTTCCTTTTGTTCTCCTCTCTCAGGCATCCTGACCTCCCTGTTGCCTTTCACCCGGCCGATTGCTGCTGCAAGCTCGGCCTTGATAGTCTTCGCCTTTGCTGCGTATGGCTGGCTCGTCTACCGCAGCTGGTTCGGCGACTTGGGGGCGTGTGCATTCAGAAGTGTGCTCGGAAGGTCTATAGGCTCCGAAGACCTAGCCGGTTGGAAAGATGCCAGCCGCCCCAGGAAATTTCGTGCTCGAAGAGAAAAAGCGCCTGGAGAATCAGCTCATTGCAAGATGACGCCCGGAAGCAACAGTGAGTTGTCACAGAGTCACAGAGCCTTGCTTAGACGTGTTTCGAGCAGCGAAGCCTGCGCACGTCTGCACAGACGGCACTAGCCTGTGGCCATCCTAAGAGGAATGCGCCTCCTTTCGGCAGTAGCTTTGTGAAGAGGATTGACTGGGCATGCAGTTTGAATATCTGCAGCCTGAGCAATCGGCGATGCTAAACCAGACAATAACAACACTCAGGGGGACTTCGCATGCCTTCGCATGCCTTCGCAGAGTCCACTGATTTTCAGCAAGCAGCTGTGGGAGACCTCAGACTTCGGCTCCAGCTTTGGTGCAGACTCGACATGACAAATGTAAGAGACATCAGGAGGCCATGGCCATCTTGGTTCCAAGTCCGTGGTAGCCTTGAGATGCCTTGAGTTGAACAGGGCTTTCGCCCCTTTCAACCCCAGTGACATGCTGTAGATGAGGTGTGTAGAAGTTGTGTAGGTGTCATTGGGAGTTGCAATGTTTGGGTTGAGATGGTGGGTGGCCAGTACGGTCATTTCCTGCACGGGGTGGCCAGCGGGGACCCGCTGCCAAACGCCCGAACCCAAGACACTCCAAGATGCGTCAATCTCCACCGTCCGCAACCCAACAGTCTACAGTGACCACAATGGAGGCCATTGTGCTCTGGACAAGATTGACTCCGTTCAGACAGAATGCCACAGACGCTCCTAGCTCAGAGATTATCAGAGATTAGGGACGGGCAAGCAGCGCCTTGTTACTCGCCCGTCCGAGGCATACCGTGTACAATGGGCTGTGTGGGAGGTAGGCTCTGTCGACGAGGGCAGTCCAAAGTCGACTGCCGCCAAAGGGGAGGCGGCCTGCCGTGGAGACGTTCAGACCTGCTTGTATTGAAGCATCGGTGACACGCTGCGAAATTGCACAGTCAGCCAAGCTGCTTGCAGCATTTGCAGTTGCCGCGCTTGGCTCACAGGCAGCTGCAGTTGAAGAGAACGACTTCACCGTGAAGGCACGCGTTGGCCAGCAAGAGAGAAAACAGAAGAGAGAGAGGAAGGAAGAGAGGGAGCCTTGGCTGAAGAAAGAGGAGTTGAAGGTTCGGTCGGTTCCACGGGGCATGGGTCGCTGGGGCGGACTAGTGGGCGTGAAGCCGACACGGTGAGGACACAAGGTAAGACAAGTGCAAGGCGCAGTTGTACGGCAAGAAAGGTGGAGGAGCGAACGAACCGGCACTGACAACAAGGACAATGCGAAGAGCCTTGAGAGGAGAGGGGGCGGACGACGCGGATGCAGTGGGCGCCATTAGGAACATGCTGGCGCTCAGGGAATTAGGAGCCGCGACCCCGCCAGAGGTCCAATAAGCCTTTTTGAAAACTGAATAAAGAACGGAAGCACACGGGGAGGGCCTCTGCGCTGAGCAGAAGAAGACGCGAGAGATGGAGAGAGAGAGAGAGAGAGAGAGAGAGAGGGAGAGGGAGAGGGAGAGGGAGGGAGAGAGAGCGAGAAACGGGGGGCGCCAACCTGTGGGGGCACAGCTTGCATGTGGAGTGAGAGAATGAACCCGAGCTCCTTCTCCCCCCGACCGGCGCGGGCGAGGACGCCCTGGGGGCTTGCCCCCTTGCCCCCTTGCCCCCTTGCCCCCTTGCCCCCTTGCCCCCAAGAAAGAAAGAGAGAGCCTGCTTGGTGGAGAGACTGTTTAAGTCATGGCACCGTCGCGTGAGTGTTTGTGGATTGTGGCGTTCTGCGCCGAGGCAGGTGAGGTTGACGTAGGTTGACCGGTCATTTGATGTTGAGGTGGACCTCCGGTCGGCGCTGCGACCAGGACGTCTGGGTTTTCCTCGCTTCTGTTTGGCGTGAGACGGATCTGAGACGGGTCCCTGACGGCAGAGGCATTCTCTATGCCTACCGCTTCGAGAGTGGCCCATCCAGATCACCCGAGGCATCTCATTCATCTCACGTTCTCTTCTCTTCTCATTCCTCTCTTTCTCCTCCTCTTCTTCTTCTTCTCTTCTTATCTTACTCCTCTCTTTCCCTCTCTTTCCCTCTCTTTCCTCTCTTTCCTCTCTTCCTTCTTTCTCTCTTCTTCTTCCTCTCTGTTACAGAGAGGGCGCGTTCCGGCTCCCGGAAGCGGCCACGGAGCCGAGGGCCCGGCTCAGCTACGCCGTCTTCAGCTGCGCCAACAGGAGCGAGCGAGAGCGAGAGAGCCTCCCATTTTGATATATGCTCTCTTCATTTCAATCTTTTCTCTCCCCCTTTTTTTTTCCTGCTTCTTCTGTTCTGCTCTGCGAAGAGCAGGGGCTTCGGCAGCTTCCGGGCCTACGCCGCCGCCCTGGAGCGCAGCAGGGAGCTGCGGGAGCCGCTGGACTTCTGGCCGCTCGGGGCGCACCAGCGCGAAGAACAAAAAAAGAACCCCCTCGAAAAAAAAAACACAGGGCTTCGATCAGAAAAAAGACACAGACATCAGCTCCAATGAACTTATTTCGAAACCTTCTCTTGCCCTGTGACGGTCTTGCACCGGGTATACCGGGTATACCGGGTATACCGCCTACCGAGGCTCCATCTTGGGGACTACATCTACGAGCGGCTCGGATGCACCTCTCTGAAGATCCTTGCGGATCCTTGCGGATCTGTGCTCTGAGCAGGTACGGCGACGGCTACTACCCGAAACCCTCGGAGACCGTCGTCCCAGGCCTAAAGCTCGTCCGATCTTTTGAAGGTTGGGTGGGGGGCTGATGACGGCGCAAGAATGCAATCAACTCTCCCGCGACTCTAGCCGCGGGAGTTGAGACTGTATGAGCTTCGCGTGGGATTGGGTGCGTTCATAGAGGCTTTCAGGCGTCGCGAGGGTATGGCGGAGGTCGCCACCAGTATACTCCCTGAAAATGAGCTTTATGCTTACATCCTGAAACAAGTCTCGAAGCCCTGAATCCCTGCCTGCAGCCAGGCTTAGGGTGATGCGCAATTCAGCTAAGACTCAAGTTTCGTCACGTTCCCCTCGCATAAACTAACTCCCAAGCGCTGAGGGGTCACGGAAAAGTGTGAGCGCCGTTTTTCAGAGTCAGGGCTGCAGCCCCGCAACGACGTCGTGGATTTGACGCTTGGCAGCTCTTGTTTCATCAGCTCCCTTACCATCGTTCGTCAGTCTGAAAGAGAGACGTGGAGGGGAGAGCTCACAGGCAAGAGTACAGGCAGCGCCATGCACACTACCGCCAGGTCCCAAGATGTCCGAAGATGCCTTGAAATGTCTTGGGGACTCCTTGAGCAAATTGCTTTTGTTGAATTTTGAAGCTCTTGCAAAGCTCCCTCGAAGAGGGTTTTTTGGAGGCCTTGACCCGGATTTGCAGCGGCTGTCGGCAAGTGCCCCGATGATCAGTTCCTGGGCAGCAACTGACGAACCGTGACAGGATATGACGGGCTGTGCCAGTAACTGTGCCTGAACTAGCGCAGGCATCTGGGACGACCACGAAGGAGACTGCCTCCAGTTTGCCGTTTCGAATGTGTTTGTGGCCTTGCATGATCTTGCATGCTTCGCAGTCGCCAATGATGACTTCAAAGCCTTCGGCTGAGAGAGTTGCAGTATTTGCAGTCAATATGATGCTCAGTCCACTGTATGCCTATATGCACTGCTGGTCATTGCTGCAAGTTTGTCTCCGGCACAGCTCGGCCGTCGACATGACCGCGGGGATCAGAACAAGCGGGACAACAACAGCAAAAACAGAGAGTGGCTTAGGCAAATGTGAAGAGAGCCGCTGTGGGGAACCGCTTTGGGATTCAGACATTGGGATGCCTCGAGCGCCGAGAAGCGCGGAATGGCGCGGAAGCGCAGTTCATGCAAAGTGCGCAACGGTGGGATCCACTTTCTTGCTGTCGCCCTCCAAAGCAGGGTTGCAGGGTGAGAGGTAGGAGTGGGCGGTCAAGTTGAGTCTGAGCTCGCTGAGAAAAGTTGAAAATGAGTGAACCTGGTAGGGTCAGCTCACCACGACGTTAATTCAATCATTCACCTTTTCCTCTCTGTCCTTCTCGTTCCTGCGACACCCTAGGGTGGATCCTCATTAGTTTATGTGGTCTGTGGACGTCTTTCCTTGTGTGCTTGTTTTGGAAGGGGGTGTTTGGCTTATAGGTGCATCTTGGAGGGTGGCTGTTGGCTTCGGCTTGGAGGTGCACCTTGGCCGAGAGGTCTTGGAGGGTTGTGTTTGCTTCGAGGTCTTGGAGGGTTGCTTTTCTGCCTCGTTGGCCCTCCAGATCCAAGTCTGGGGAGGGCACTGCTGTTCACCGCCTCTTCTAGACTCTTGACGCGGCAACGTGAAAACGCCCGAGCTGTCCTTCCGGGGCACCGGTCGCGGCGTCCACTGGCCTAGCCTCCCTCCCTCCATTCCCTCCACCTCTCCTTGCCACGATAGCACTGCATCCGGCCTCCGCGCTGGGGTCAAGCACTCGGCCTCCTCTTGGGTCAGTCCAGCAGCAGCCAGCCGTAGAGGTACTTGTGTGGTGATCGAACGCGACCTCAACCCACAAGTGGTTCTGGGGAGACTTCGTGGCCCTTTTTTGTCTTTAGGGACGCAGTATTGTGTTTTTGTGCCGCCCTCAGAAGTAGGGGCGGGGTGTTTGGCTTAGACCTGCGTCTTGAAGATTAGTATTTGGCTTGGAGGTGCGTCTTGGAGGGGTGCGTCTTGGAGAACGGAGTTTGTCTTAGAGGTGCATCTTGCATCCCATTAGAGGTGCGTCCTGGAGGCGGATATTGGCCTGGAGGTGGGTCTTGGAGGACACACCTCCAAGCCAAACACCCGCCTCCAAGACGCCTTTAATCCACACCCTTTCCAAGACGCCCGCCCCTCCAAGACGCACCTCAAGCCCAAACACCCCCTTGGAGGGGGGTGTTTGGCTTAGAAGTGCATGTTGGAGGGGGTGTGTTTGGCTTAGAGGTGCGTCCTGCAGGGGTATGTTTAGCTTAAAGGGGAGGGGGGGTTTGGCTTAGAGGTGCGCCTTGGAGGGGAGGTGTTTGGCTTAGGACACCACACTCCAAGTCGGTTTTCCGCCTCAACTGCGTTGTCGTAGAGAGGTTTTCCCGATTGCAAGCCGACTGCATCCTACAGCCCCCAACTTCAGGGGTATTTCCAATCCGAGCCTTGCGCCTGCCAAGCAACACCACATGCCAAACCAATCCCCGCACCGCGGCTGCCACGCAAAACCATATTCCAAACCAATTCCCTCACTGCGCGCCTGTGCTTTGATGATTTCCTTTCGCGTATTGTCCTTCATAAGGATGGTGCGGAGAACCACGAGGAGCAGCAGGGAGCCTTCGAGGCCAGCGCCGCGGCGAGCGGCCAGTGAGCGAGAGCGTGAGAGGGCTCCGCAAACGAGAGCAGCGAACAAAATGAGATCGCAAAACTGGGTCCCTCTCACCGAGCTAAATTCGAAGCCCCAAAAGGCTCTGGCGGGAAGTGTGAGCATCTCGGCTCTCCATGCAAGAGCTCCAGAGTCAGCAAAAAGGTGGGGGAGCCCGGGAAAACGGGGACGGCTGTGGCCTTGGCGATTTGTAGGGGAGAGGGACTCGGTGATCGTGGACCGTGGGCTTCCACTCCAAACCTGTGAAGCAGCAGCTTTTGTGTGAGCCACTATTTTCGCTTCACTGCAAACCGCTGCAAACCTTGTTTTTCTTTCGTTTCCAGACCTGCCGAGAAACAGAGTAAACAGAGTCAGAGTTTGTCGTGGCAGCTGAGCTGTGAGGCACGGAAGCTTGCAGCCATCCGTGCTTACCACGAGTGGTTGGGGACCCGCAGACCCGCAGCATGCCAGGCATACAAGCCCCTCTTTTGGTTCCCGGATTCTCAGGTTGCCGACCCGTGTGGAATTTGACCTTGCCAACTCGTCTGCCGCCTCTTCGAAAGCATGTTAGAGAGCTTTTTGGAACCATCTGGGGGGACTTTGGATGCTACCATACGGCCATACGGCAACAAAACCCGACAGTCAGGCCCCTTGGATGCGCTGGAGACGGTTCGACTTCGGTAGCCTGGCCACCTTGCTCATGCTTGAGACCCGGCTCGTGGCGCGCACATCGCAGGCCCTGCGCAGTGCTTCTTAGTTGAAGTACGGCGATGATGGCTGTGGGCCATGGCGCTAAAAAGAAGACCCGGGTGATGTGATGTGTGGATCCGGCAGGCTGAGGTGACGGCACAGACCGTTCGCAGCCAGATCGCCGGAGTAGGGGCCCGAGAGCTTGTGAAGGCGGTGAAGGCAGCGAAAGGCAGCGAAAGGCAGCGAAGGCAGCGAAGGCAGCGAAAGGCACTGAAGGTGGTGAAGGTCATAACTAGATCACGAAAAGCCACTTCTAATGGGAACATGAGCCGCCACCTGAAGGTTTCAGGTTTTTTGGGGTCGTCACATCCTGTCGAAGTAGCCACAACCATGCCTTCTTATACCATGCCTTCTTATACCAGAGCGGAAATCAGATTTTCCAATCATGCTCATGCCCACGTTGCAGAAAAGCCCTGACATGTTAGGCTTCGGCGGTACTGTTGATGCCTTTGTGGATGTAAGGGTACAGGCAGGCCCGCAGGGACACAAGATACAAGCGGCAGATGCTGAGGTGCTGAACGGGGCTTGGGCACTTTCACCCAGTGCGTGGGCAGGCGTGGCCAAAGCAATGACACTTAGAAGAGGCTTAAGGCAAGACTCCTTTTGGTCCAGGAGGCCGAATCGAGAAGAAGCTGCTCCGGGTGCGGTCCGAGGTGGAGGCTGGGCTTTGGCGGCTGCATGTAATGCGCGTTGCCGCGTTGCTGTTTTTTCTCGGAGTGTTTTATTCCGAGGCGCATCGGAATTCTCCGAACAAGCGAATGCTCGGAGACGACCAGCTGAGAGCTCAGCCTTTCGCCCTTTTGTGCTCATCCTTGTGCTCACGAAAGACAAAAAGACGCTGCCTTTAACAGGCTGGCCTGGATTTCGCAGCAGGCATCAAGCAAAGGCCAGTGGCTGCTGATCGGGCAGCCGCAGGTGGTGCAGGTCAGAGTCCTTTGAGCCTTTGAGCAGTGTAAACGGCCAAAGAGTGCTTCCTTAAGGAGCTCATGAGCCCGAACTTCCAGGCCGCCATTGACAAAAAGAGACGTCAAGGCCATGCAGCAATTGCTCGACAGGAGCTGTCCTCTCTTGTGATCATTGTCTGCGCATCTCCACTGCGGAATCCCGCAGAAGACGTCACTGACGTGCATCCCGAAGCCAACCCCCGAAGTCCATCCCCACGTCCATCCCCCTTCCCCCCCTGCAGGCGACGTGGCTACTGCGGAGTACTGGGATGCGGTGGTCCAGAACCTGACGAAACGCGGCCGTGGCTACCGAAACTTCACTGGGCCCGGAGTCAACACTGAGGCGCCCAAAGTGCCGAAAGTTCGAGAGCAGCCTTTGCTGTTGAATCGCTTAGCTCAGCGTGGTACAAGCAGCAAGAAGAGCATATTCTGCTTCTTCCTCGTTCCTTTTCTGATGATTGCAAGCGAATCAAATCAAATTTGCTGGCAGAGAGGCGCTGGTGTCGTCGAGCTTGCGCAATGCCTTCCTGGTGGACCGCGATCATCCATTGCCCGTTCCCGTCAAAGTGAGTTGGAGCGCAGTGCGCGTTTTGGCATTCTCTTTTCAGGCTTTTTCAAGCTCTGAAGGCTGTTGTTGGCTCATGTTGGCTCTTCGGTCCTTGGGAAACGACCTCTTGGCTGTCGCCGCTGGTTTCTCTCTGGTTCTCGTATGGTCAATTTCCAGGAGGATCTCGGCTTGGGGGGCATTTTACTGCTTCCTGTTTCCATTGGATCTCGGCTTCGGGGGCATTTTGGTGCTTCCTGTTTCCATTGCATCCATGTCGAGATCTGACGTAATGCTATTGCATCCAATTGAGGTAAAACAACTCTGGGGGAAAAAAGGCTTCCTGACAGGGTAGGAGTGCAGACACCCATGAGCCAGCACTGAAAAAGCTGTATGGTGCCCGCCTCATCCTCAAAATTTAAAACTAAGACGCGACTGCATCGCAGAAGCTTGCCCTCAACCTCCACAAATTCCGCGTATGTCATGCCCAGAGCCTCAGTGCTGGACCGTCGTGAAGCGCAGCCGTCAGAGTTGTTGACAGCAGAGTCCGTGCTGGGTATTGTGACGTCCGCTACCGCTTTTGCCAGCATGCAACAGCCATCATGGGGCCTCGCCACCAAGTGACGAGCCGAATCCTGCTGAACGCTATCCGCGTCAGCAAGGGTCAGATCGTGCAGTTTGGTAAAGAGCTGCCTAAAGGCCTTCCGACTGCTGCTGTGAGTCCCAGTGGCGTTCGACGCCACGACACTGAAGGCAAGTGGCTCCGACATACCCTTCCAACAATCACAAGGCATTGTTAATCACCAGCCAATTCCCATACCCCTCCCCCCCCCGGGTTTTTAAAGACTTGTCTCTTAAGTTTTTTCGCGGCTGCCTGTTAAGTGAGCCAAGCATAGGTATGCATCACACAGGAGCGACTCACGTGACAGATGAAAGCATGATGTGATCATGCCCTGCCGTGAACACATGTCCGGACAACGTGCCAAGGTAGACGACAAGAAACATAGAACATTGCGCGCTTGAATTTCTTTTAGGGGAGAGGACGGTAGTAAGAAATCCAGCAGGGCGCCTTGCATGGTACTGTTGATAGGAAAGCAAACGCAGTCTGACTGTGGGCCATCTCTGGGAACTGGCAGAGGTCCTTGTTGGCAGGCAGCACACAGCAGCCCCCAGTAGCTCCGACCAGGTATCTGTCACATCATGGCAAAGTGGACTGGCTGTTCAGACCGCGCGCACGCGTGTATGATGGTGTGTTGTATCTTCTGCCATCACATGTTCCAGTGCCAGCAGTGTTGCTGCAGTGTTCCATGCGTGTAGCTTAGCAAGTGTTCTCGATTTGGTGCTGATTCATTTTGACATTTAGCAGAAGCCATGCAAAATGCATCCAGATGCAGATATAAAGCGGCAGGTGACTGTAATACGAGCTCCACCATCTGACGGCCTCGAACTGCTTCCCACCTCCTACGATTGAGTGCCTCACGGCTAGGTTAGCCAAAAGTTGTATCTCGGTCTTGCGATGTGAAAGATCAACACCAGTGTAGCGTTGCAGATGCTCTCTGCTCCCGTCAGGGCCAATCAGTTCAGGAATGCACTCGCCCATATACCTAAGCAAATCATGCATGTGACAGAACGTTTGGGAGATCTTTGGCGTATTGGTCACTGCCGATTCCGTGTTTGCATTGTCCTGGAAACGGGCCTTGAGATTATGTCACCGGACGCACCCTCTCCCATGGCGGGCGACAACACAGAGTGCTGGGGCCACAGTGGTGCCGCACTAGTCCGGCGATCTGGGCCTTGGGCATTTTACATCAAATTCACATCTTTGGTGTGGGGAGGAGGAGGACGGAGCCCCGAGCACAGGCTCGTGCGAGGGCACCGCAACCCCTCGCGGTGGAAGCACAGCGAACCCAACATTCTCGCAAGCACTCAAAGGGCACACGCAAACCTGAGCACGGGCACTCTGCACGTGCTCGTTCGTATGCTGACAAATCAGAGGTTGTGACGGTGGCCGGGCGCAAGGTAAAGGCAAAGCATTCCAGTAGGAGAGGACCAGGAAGAGGTAAGACGAAGCTTGACAGTATGTGCTGATTGAAGGAGTGCTTCGTCTTTCTTAGCGGCTGAGCATTGTGTTGAGTGTTGCTACAGCTCCTTTTGTAGAATATTTTGCGCAAAACATGTTGGAGGAGAACATTGCCATCACGTATTTAGCAAGAGGCGCATCGCTTGGGGTGAAATCGCAGGATCTGGCCGCCGGTCAGTTCCAGATCCAGCATCTCAGCCAAGCACCGCTGAAGTTTCACGTTTCTGTCTCGTGAGTCGAGAAAGATGCACGTCGACCCGAGGCTGAATTTCGATAGCTGGACTGGCTATGTGGCCGAGCGCCGGCGGTTGGCTGAAGCCCTCCGTGCAGCGAAGGCGCCAGCTTCAGCAGCTCCGAACGGTTGGGCACGCTGAAGAGTTGCTCCCTACCGCAGACTCTACGCGGCAGCCTACGTTGCGCCATGTTGCACGATTCATGACGGAGCCGCAGCAAAACTTGAAAGGACCTTGCAGAATGAAGGACCTTGAAGGGTATTTCAAACAAGTTGTGCCAGGGTGGCATCATCTACGGTGGTGACTCCCACAATGCCTGGGCAGGCACTGAGTGGGGGCAGCCGGGGCAGCTCTTGTGACGCGGTGTTATGCAATGGTGCTGCAACAACTGGCGGTCCAGTGTAGACGCAAGTGTGGGAGCGTGTGAGACAAGTGAGGCTGAAGCGTGGGCTTTGCGTGAGCGGGAGTGTAGCTTCTGTGCGAATGAGGATTCACTTGCCGTTCCTACTGTCGGTTTTGTGCGAGTTGTGTGTCAGCGAATGTGTGATTCGAGCGTGAGCGGGTGGCAGTAAGCAGGTGTGATTCGTGATTCGGGTATCAGCGGAGATTTCCGTCATTGAGGCACTCACACCTTCTCACACTTTATCACACATCTGAGATCACACCTTTCTCGCACTTCTGCTCACACTTTTTGTCACTTCCGCTGCGCTTTTCTCACTCTTGACCTTGCTTGCTTACACAACCGCTCACATCTGGCCTCGCACTTCTGCTCACACCTTTGCTCTGCGTAGCGCTGTTGCCTATTCGTACCGTTAACCGAAACCTTCTCTAGGCACCTTTGAAGCCTTGCTTAGAAACACCCACCTCACCCACCCGAGGCAGCGAGGGTACGAGCCAGTTTGCTTTCAGACACGCTGTGACGTCCAGGACGCGCGACGTGTGACCGGTTTCTCCTCGACGCTTAGACGTCGTAGAGACACGTAGAGACGATGCTTCATCCGTCTGAATTCCTGTGCGTTAAGTGGCCCTGTTGTTTTTCGTCGCGGCGAGAGGCACGCTTCGAGCAGAAGATGGCGCAAGTGTGGCCGTGGATTTCGACGGCATGTCCGTCACGAGTCCAGGGGTGGAGCGGCTCGGAAGAAGCTGTAATGGAAGCATGAATATGCATGACAAGCCCGCATGGAAGGCAAGCCCAACTGTACCTCAGCAAGTGCGATGTGTTCCTTTTGTCTGACAAGTGGTTTTGTCCTCGCATGTCATTGTCACTGCGTTTCATTGCATTTCATTGCATGCTTTCCTAAGCCTTACGACATGGCGTGGTCTTTGAAAGTTCCCCCGCGCGCAAAGTGCGCTGTCCTTCTCTGTCGAGATTTCTGCGGTCGCGTGTAGCCACGTTTCTACGTCCAATGTCCCCCCGGGGAGCGTGAGAGCTCCCGTGGCAAGTGTATGGCGGCAAGAGTGGCGGCTAGTAGCTGCCAGCATCTAGGCACACCACATAAGGGCGTGTCACAGCTGGCTTGGATATGATCCTGCGTACAGAGCTTCTGTTGCTGTAGTTGTTGCTCAGGTCCGAGCGGCCGTTCCTCCCCCCGAGCCTGGAAGCTGCTGCAGGGCCCCCACAAGAAAGAAGAGAGAGGGCAGACGGCCGAAGCATGCGGAAGCGAATGGTTTTCTGGATCTGGTGTGTGCGAGGCATGGCAAGCAGCCAATCCGGATCTCACCTGGGCGGTCGGAGCCCGTGTGAAAAATGTTTGTGTGTCTGTGTGTGTCTCTGTGTGTGTGTGTGTGACAGTGGCTTTTTCTTCACGCTGCTTTTGAAAAAGGATACTTCCCGACGCGGCTTCATGCTCGTCAAGCTGACTCCCGACCTCCACCACCTGGAGGCTTCTCCTGAGAAAGTGTTCATAAGTTCAGAAGGAGGCCAGCATTTTCAGTGTAACTTTTCTCTCCCATCTTCATCCTAGCTGCTTCCTAGCTTTCCTAGCTAACTTTCCCGTGTCTCAGTACATCGCCGTGGACGTGACGAGTCCCAGCCAAGGCGGGCCCAAAGGCTTTGCAGTGAAGCACGGAGCACGGAGCACGGAGAGAGCACGGAGAGAGCACTGCTTGAGCACTGCTTGAGCACTGCTTGAGCACTGAGCTGCGCTGGCGCTTGCACTTGCACCCGTGGCCACGAGAACATGCATGTCTGTGCCCCCAATCACGTCTTTCAATAGGGTCTCGCTTGACCCTTCGGAAGGTCAGCTTTGTGCACAGGTGCGTCATGTGTTAAAAGTTGCCTGTGACCGCCGTATGTAGGTTTCAGGGATGCGGGGAAGCTCGAGGCATTGACGAAGGCAGTACTTGCCTCGCTGCCGTCGACGTCCGTGACCGGGAGTTGCGCATGAGTGCCTGCAGGCAGGCCCCCATGGCGCATCGCGCATCGTGGAGAGATGAAGATCAAACGAAGCCCAAGCGAAGCTCGATGAAGCTCCCATGGTTCATGATTCATGCTCAGAGCCTTGGTGGCGGAGCCCGTCCCCGAAGCCTGGCCGTGGCAGCGGCCCTGGGAAGCCGTGACTCCGTGACTGACGGGGGAGCCTTTTGGAAAGCAAAGCTTCTCAAAGCTTCTCTCAGGCTGCCGATGGCCTCTTTGTTGGCCTCCTGGGCCTCTTTCTGCGCCTTGGGTGCTTTCCTGGGCTGCCTGTTGAGTCGCTGTCGGATCCTTCGCCCTTCCAGCCGTCCTGGCCCGGGGCTGAGCGGCTGAGCGGAGCTGGCCATCCTCTCGTTGTTTTGTGCACTTTTTGCTTCTGAGGCCTCTACGAGAAGCACATGGACAACGATGAGGCGCCTGAGAGACGGGGGAGAGAGGAAGACATTCAGACAGAGATGCAGTGAAAAGAGGTGACTCCACAGAGGATGGGCATCGACATTGGCTGATGTGTCGCTGAAAAACGGTGCAGAAATCGAGATGCCCCAGTGCTGCACCGCTGAAGATGCAGAGCCGTGTGTGCCGTCCGCAGTGAAGGTGTTGTCTCAGGCTCAAAGCAAGAGCGCACATGCTCAAAGCCTCACAAGCATCAACGCCGAATTGCGCCTGCATTGGAAACAACAGCAGTATTCACAGTATTCGCAAGACGTAGATCTCTGGTAGGGCCTTGTCAGAGACGGGCAGGCGCAGAGATGGGTTCTGCCTGCCCTCCTTTGCGACTTCTCTGTCTCCTTCCTCCGCTCTTCTCCGACTCCTTCCTCTGCTTTTTCTTCTCTCCCTGCGAGAGGTGTGACCTTTCGATGGCAGGCGGGGTCGGAGCCGTGCGGCTCGGAGGGCCCCGCGCTGCCATCCCGAGAGTTTTCAGCCGGCCGGGCACCCCATCGTTTAAGCACATCCTAAACACATCAAACATTCCAGGCTTTGGTTGTTTAGCCATATGATTCTCAGAGAAGCTTTCTCTGCACAGAACAGCGGGAGTCAAAAAGTCTCTTTGATTGCCTGAAGGTCGGCAGTGTTGGCTGCTCTGTCGGTATTGCCCTTTGCCTCGCGGAGCTTCGCCAACTCTGACCTGAGCCTTGGCCGCTGTACGGAGCTTCAAAAACACTACCCTGACGCACCTATACGCCTCTTCATGTGCAAGTCTTTCGGTGTAACTAACGTCACACAGGCATAGGCCGCAGTGGTGCGCAACTCCTTCCTGATCTCCAGTCTCCAGTTCTTTGCTTCCCTCTCGGGCCGGTTCTATTGAGGGGGGACTGGGGGACGCCAGCAGCCGGGACTGTTTCTCGAAGAGTTGTCGCAAGGATGTGCACACACGCGCTCGCTTGCACCAAAGGCTGCCATTGAGCATGTCTACGCGTGTTGCACTCCCCTTGTGTTGGCTTTCTGGAATGCGTTGATCAGGTTCATTTGAACGGTACTGAAGCACAATACAGATTCCCAGCATCCAATGAATCAACGTTCGCATGCTGCCACTTTTGCAAAAGTGCAGACGTTTCTCGAGGGCGGGCCCCTGCTTTTTCGCGAACAACTGTTGACATACTTGTCTTTGTGGAAGCTGGATGTCCCATTCTCCACACAGTCATGAGTCATGACGATGTCATTTCCATGCTTCTTCCAAGGCTGCGGCTGCGGGCGCCGGCCCGGTTCCAAGCGCCCCAAAGGCGCTCAGTGGTGCGGTGGGCGGCCAACAGTGCTGCGAGTGCGAGCGCGGAGCCGCGGGCGGGGGATGAAGGGGATCCTTTCGAGCACCGTGACCACCGCCTCGCAGAGTGTTCACTTTTCCTGCACGCCGCAGGAACAGCGCCAGGAGTCGGCCCGCCGCCTGCTGCAGGACATCGTCGGAGTCGTGTGCAGCCCCAGAGCATCTCAGAGCGGCAACAAAAGAGAGCCAGCAAGAGAGAATGAGAGAGAGAGAGAGAGAGAGAGAGAGAGGGAGAGAGAGGGAGAGGGAGAGGGAGAGGGAGAGGGAGAGGGAGAGAGGGAGAGGGAGAGGGAGAGGGAGAGAGGGAGAGGGAGAGGGGAGAGGGAGAGGGAGAGGGAGAGGGAGAGGGAGAGGGAGAGGGAGAGGGAGAAGAGTGTACCCTCAGATGCAAAAGAGGCAGCATGGCTAAGGTGAGTTCGGCGGGAATCGAGGTCTGGAGTCCGCATCTCATGACATGTGAGGTTTGAAGTCGCGAATTGGAGGCCGGTGCCGTGCGGGGCCTGCAAGCGCTCCGGGCCACACTGCTTACGGCCGTGGAGGCCGCGCAGCAGAATGAGCTCCAGGAGGCAGGTTGGGGTGACCTTAGCCGTAGAAGTCGCTTTTGTAAGCTTGAAAGGCCTTCTCTTCACGACCCACGGTTGAAATACGTATGACTCCGACTCAGTAGGCGGCTTCGTATGCGGCTCTTTCACCGAAAAGAGGCGCTGCTAGCGCTGCAGGGCCTTGCCCGGGGGGAGCGTGTGGAGGATGCTCCGCTCGCCCGCCTCCTGCGGCGGCTCTTCCAGAGGCCTTCCCCCCCCCCCCCCCCCCCCCGCTCCCCCGCTCCCCCGATCCCCTTCGTCCTTCGCCTCCGAGCATCTGCATTTGGCAAGCAAATGGCACCATCACTCACACCCATACACAAGACGTACACTGTGTGCCTCTCTTTCCTAACAGGATTGGAAATTGCAAAGAATTCAGCGGCAGATGCGATTCGAGCAGACGCTTGTTCGTGAACATGCAATGCAGCCACGCAATGCCACCACGCAGTTTCTGGAAAGCGCTTTTTTGTTGAGGGCATGTGTCAAGGTTGCTCTCCCTAAAGGCTGGGCAGCACGTACGTCAAGCTCGGGCAGTTCATAGCGTTCGATCCTTGGGCTCCCCGAGGTTAGCATCTTGCAGCCGGTGTCCCTGGAAGAAATAGACAGAAGCCGATGTTTGTTGCGCTGATTTCATGTGCCCAGACAGGCGTTTCTCATGTCGGTTCAGGACACATCAGCGGTTCATGCCGGGGAAGCTGTACACAGTGACACGTGAAACTGACAGTGCTGAGCACCGAAGGTCCTCACCTACGCTTTTTCCAGCGGCATACGTCCGGGAGTTCCAGCGATCTGGCTTCAACCGGGGGCACACAGACAACAAAGCATAGCAAAGCATAGCAAAGCATAACAAAGCATAACATGAGGGCTTCGAGAGGGCGTCGAGAAGGCTTTGAGGTTTTGGTGGAGGCCTCTGCGACAGTGTGGAAAGGCGATGCCTGGACCGCACAGAACCCACGAGCTTTGCAGCAATCAGGCGGAACAGTGCACAGTGAACGTTTGACGAATCGTGATGAACGGTGAAACTTGAGCGCAAAAACATCCACGCGACACGTTTTCACCTGTCTCTGCCCCAGGCGGACAGTAGAGGCTGACCTGGGGCTTGAAGCTCAGTGTGAAGTCTGCTTCGAATGCAGAATGCAAGCACAATTTGTTTCTAAGGCGCCCGCTGGGAGAAGTTTTCCTTTCCTTTGAGGAGGATACTTGATTGTGAAGCCTGCTTTGCCACTGCTTTGCAAGCTCTTGCCGTCTGGATGGTCTCCTTCTCTTGGCGCCCACCGCTGGCACATGAGCTTGCGCAAGGGCGTCAGATTCAGACAGGTTCGAGGCGAGCTGCACGTGTGCGCAGAGGACACAGGACTCAACTAAACGACCAGCTGCGACACCTACACACCACCGCCAGCAACGAAAAGCCCACCGAAACTGAGCGACACATGCGCCGCTAGAGACTGGGAATGCCTTGGGCCCGCTTCTACCCTTCTCATGCAGCACAGAAGGCCCCCAGCATTTTCAACTCCAATTCTTTTGGGTTCCGGTGGGGGCTCATGGTTGAAGCGTTTGGGGGAGGGCGTTAGGAGTGTCAGGAGCTGCACGGTGCGTGTTTGGATGTAGATCATTGCATATGAGCGCTAAATCCCCCAGCCATTCAAGTAAGCAAGGTGTGGACACGAATGTCCCAAAACCCTGCAGAGCGATGGGGACACCTGAGCGACACCCCAAGCTAGTGAAGCGTCCATCAGCACTGCCAGCCGGTTTTGGAAGTCGCTCATATGATGCGATCCTCCCTTTGATGTATCTTAAATCCCTCGGCAGCGTTGCGCAGAGCGAACATCAGCCCAAGGTTTTTCATTCTGCTTGAGATTGCCCACTCGCTTTGTGCATGCCTTGTCGTGTAGGGTTTGAGATGGCCACAGAGAGCCCGGACAAGGGAGGATGCATGCGGACTGTGAGGTTTGCGAAGACTGCACCCATTGGTCGTGGTCAGTATTTGCATCTTGCATTCTTGTGTCTGAAAGAGGGACGGTCGGCTGCTCTCTTTTTGTTTTTTCTGTTTTTGCGTTCTGCTTTGGGGCTTCTCGGTTCCAAGAAGCAATATACAAGTTGCAAACCAGGGGCCCAAGGCAGCTTTGGCAAACCCTACGCAGACCAAGCAGGTTTTGCAGATTGGTTAGGTTGCAAGGATCTTCGTAAGACAGAGGCATGCAAAGGTCTTTAGCTTGTTCACTAATGCTAAATGCTCTCTAACTAACAGCTCGGCAAAAAGCACAACGGTCGTCTGTGTGCACCGCACTCTCTGCATCAATCCAAACCGCACCGGAAAAGCATCTTGAGCAATGTCTCACGATGACCGAGAAACCTGCGCATGACCGGGTGACTCAACCATGTTCACAGCGTGTGAAAATGCTCGAGATAACAAAGTTTCGCTCGTCGTAGACTCGGCGTGGGCTTCTCGTGGGCCCTCATGGAGCTTTGCTCAGGAGCCGCTTGCCTCGGTGGCGGCCTCGGGAAAGAAGCCAAAGCCAATCAAAAGCCAAAAGACAGAACATTTGAGACAATTTGAGCCATTGGGGCGTTTCTCTCTCTCTCTCTCGCACCTCGCGAGGCCTCTGTGGCCCAGGTGCATTCAGCGGTGGCAGTCCCGGCATTCAGAAGCCAAAGGTTGAAAGCGCGTAAAGTGAGCAAGTTGCTCAGTTGACTCAATTGAGGTGCTGCAAACTGGTGAGCAAGTAGCCGTGAAAGTGCAAAAGCCTGGAGTGGAGAAGGTCCTACAGGCGGGGGCGAAGCTGCGCGAGTCTACGAGTAATTGTAAAAACGCTTCCGCGCGCCGGGCTGGCCCAACGTGGGGGCTTGCATGCGCAACGCAAAATCCAGGGCTCAAAAGGCAGGCGCTTCGGGCAGGCCCCACAGGGAGGGGTGGTGGGTGGGGTGGCGGGAAGGGTTGGGAAGGGGAAGGAGCCCAGATCCTGGTCTTACGGTCTTACAGTTTTGTCTCCGAAGAGGCCGACTTGGGCTTCCTGTTCCTCGCCGCACGGACGCTGGAGCCCACGCCCCAGCTCAGAGATCTCTCAGAGCTCTTCCAGCTCGAGCAAACGAACAGGGTAGCTCCCTACACGGTGTCTGTTGCCGCTTTCGGACGTCTGGGTTTAGCAAATGCGACACGGTCTCGCTTTCGGGATCCCCGTGCCGCCTTTTAGACGTGTTCCCCAATGCCGAGAAACAGTCTCGTCGTTGGGTTCCCTCCCAACGTTGGGTTCCCTCCCAAGTAGGAGAAGCTGCCGCTGTCGTTACATTTCGCAGCTTCGTAAATCAAAGAGGACATTCCGCCCAACCACCGGAGCGAGCCAGCATCGAGCTCAAAAGGCCCTAAGGCCCGCGAGAGGCGCCTGCGGCAAAAAGCCGAATGTCACAGAGCAATCAAAAGCTCCCCGCGTGCACAACACGTGCACAACTGCCCCACGCGCACAACAAGAAAAGTCGACTGCGCCCATCCGAACGTGGGAAGGATCCTCTCAGCGGGTTCCTTCAACCATCATCGCCGGGACCTCATAAGTGGGCCACACTGTCTGCATAGTGACAACGTGTATGCGGACTGAGCTGCGAAACAGAAACAAGACAATCCAGCAACATCCTTTGCATCCTGAACGGTGTAGTCTACAAGCATGTCCTGCGCGACCTCTACAGTGCATGCGTTCATGTGGCAGAAAACCTGGGATGTACCGCCTGCCGCTAAGCTGCCATGGCGTACGGTACCATCATGAAACCCGCCGCTGGGACATTTGGGCCCCATGGTTTTTCTCCCACACGTGGTTTTTCCCTGGGCTGGTTTGCACAAGTCTTGGAATCCCACACGTGACCACAATGCTTGGTCATAGCATTCATTGCCGAGAACAGACTTTCTCTTGCTTGAATGAGAAATATGTTGGTGCTGTTTGTCTTTAAGCTGGGAGTTCTTGGAAAGCCAGTGAACAGTGGAGCTGGCATTCCCGTCCTGGCTCCTATGCATGCTTCAACAACTGCACTTGCAGCTGTTCAGAGACCAGCGCCAATTAAAGGCCGTGCCTTTTTGCAAGGAGATGTTCGCAGGAAGAGTGCCGAGCGTAGGGCTGAAAAGCACGAAAGAACTTCGGCTGGAGGTACCAAATCTCCTTTCTTAATGAACGTACGCGTGCCTTGACTATGACGAGTTGTGGAATGATTTCGGGTGCTTCGCATGCCCCGAACCACGGAACCGTAAAAGGAATGGCGACTTGCCAACCTTGAAGCGGTCCTGCAGGCAAAACGATGCAAAACAGGGCTTAATTCTGCCACCTCGAATGAACTGAGTGACCGCAGTCTGCCGTAACACTCGAGTCGACAGTTTGTTCAGTATTGTGATTCGTCTTTGTTCTTGCTTTCTGTGATACCTCGAAAACCAATCTTAGCCTTGCCTTTGCCCTTTGCACTGTCCTACTTTCCTGTTACGTCTCCAGCCCGTAGGCCCGTAGGCCCGTAGGTATCTTCATCTGCTTTACCAGACTCACCCTTCATGCCACTTCGGGTCATTGTGGTGCCTGAACGATTCGTTTGATGCTCTGGAGAACGGAGATGGAAGTGCGGAAGCTTGCTTCGGAAGGTTTCTGAGCCCAGACCTCGCCAGGACTTCGGTGGCCGGGATCCCCACCTCTCAGAGTATACGTAGCATACGTCAAATCTCAGAAGGTCTCACAAGTGCTCAGCGTATCTCCGGCAGGTCGACATACTCTCAGAGATACGTACATCCATGCTCCTCGGCTTGCTGCCATTCTTTGACTTCCTCGACCTTGACTCAGGGCCTATTCTTTTAATACTTTGTGTCTTTCTTTATGAGTGTTTTTTGTTTTTTTGGTCCCCCGGTCCCCTGGTCTGCTGAAGCATCTGAATGATTGAAACCCATCAGGCGAGCGTTGTGTTTGCAAATGAGGGGTGCTGCGCCCCCCCCCCCCCCCCCCCCCCCCCCCCGCTTCTTCAAGCCGTGCAAGCGATTAACACCCATCAGGCCACTTTTTTCAAAGCATATGAACGAAAAAAAGCCATGATGCGAGCATTGTGTTTGGAAGTGGGAGGGGCTGCGCCCCCCCCCAACCCCCCCGCCTTTTCAAAACATATTGAAACCCATCATGCGAGCATTGTGTTTGCAAATGGGGGGGGGGGGGTGCGCCGCCCCAACCCCCCCAGCTTCTGAAAGCCGTGCAAGCTTTTGTCAAAGCGTATGAACGATTGAAAGCCACCATGTGAGCATTGTGTTTGCAAATGGGGGGGGCTGCGCCCCCCCAACCCCCCGCTTCTTTAAGCCCTGCAAGCTTCTTTCAAAGCATAATATGAACGATAAAACACTGTCAGGCCACTTTTGCCAAAGCATAATAACTATTGAAACCCATGATGCGAGAATTGTGTTTGCCAATTGTGCAGGGCTGCGCCCCCCCCAACCCCCCCCCCCCCCCCCCGCCTTTTTAGTAATGCAAGCTTTGTTTCAAAGCATATGAAATTTGAAGCCTCATGACCCCCCCAACCCCCCCCCCACCCCCCCCCCCCCCAACCCCCCCCAACCCCCCCCCAACCCCCCCAAACCCCCCCCCACAACCCCCCCCCCCCCCCCCCAACCCCCCCCAACCCCCAACCCAAACCCCCCAAAACCCCCCCCCCAAACCCCCCCAACCCTCCCCAACCCCCCCCAACCCTCCCCAACCCCCTCCCAACCCTCCCCTCACCCCTCCCCAACCCCCCCACCTTTAGCCGTCGAAGCTTGTTTCAAAGCACATGAACGATTGAAGCCCACGATATGGTCCCGCCTTCGCCCCAACCCGCTCGTTTTACAAGCCATGTAAGCTTCATTCAAAGCATATGCGTCTTTCTGAAGCCCATCATGCGAGCCCTGTGTTTGCAAATGGGGGGGGGGGGGGGGCTGCGCCAACCCCCCCGCTTTGCCAAGCCGTGCAAGGTTGCGAGCAACATTAACAAGAATTCCTACGAAAAGCGCGCATCCTATGAATATATGGAGGGAATGGAGGTTTTCCTAGGGAAAAAACAGAGAAAATGGACCAGTTCCTATGAAAATGTAAAGGGAATGGAGGTTGTTTAGGAAAATCCAGGCAAGTCGACCAAATCCTATGAAATTTCAAGGGGATGTAGCCTTCTCCTAGGAAGACCAGAGGACCAGCAGACCAGGGCACCAGGAGACAGGGTCCGTTCAAGCCTTCTTCCCCGGAGCTTCAGTCTTCTGAGGTTGGATGAGTTGGACTTTACAAAGGAGCGTGACAATGTCGAGACCTTCCGGCAGGTGCTCGGCACATGCCATCCTTGTGGGATGAGTCCATGCAGCTTTTGGAGTAAGCAGTACTTCAGTAGTTTTACATCGTACTGTTGAGGAGTATCCATTTCGTGGTGTTGTGTGCGTAGAGACGGGAAGAAACCCATCAACTTGGTCACGATTGTTCGGCGATTATCGACGAATCGCCAGTGCCATGAGCCATGAGACCGTCTACAAGCCTCACCCACTACCAGGCTAAACGCCTCGAACAATTGGAGCCACAGACAAATAAAGAAATACGCCACAGCGAGATGACGTACAGATCGGCCACAGCGAGATGACGTACAGATCGAGCATCTTGAAATTCCCATGTGCTCGGAGACGACGTATTTCGAGAAGACACCCAGCTTTTCGCCCGTGCGTCATTCATAACTTTGCCGAAAGCATCTTGAGAACATTCTCGCGACAAGGAAGCAGGAACAAGCAGGAGAGACGCCGCAAAAGCTGTCTCAGACAAGTTTGTCCTCGATCGTAGGAGGCGGCGGGCAGGACTATCATTTTATCTTTCCACATTGCTCTAACCTGTCGAATATCTGAGTCGACAATTGAGTTTGAATCGAGCAACTGGCCAACCAACATCTTGGAAATCTACGGTACACTGCAGCTTGATGATTGCAGATGCAGTCTGTTGTCTGTTAGCCTGGCAGTTCTTGCGCCGCAATGGCCTCGAGCGGATCGCCACTGCCCCAAGGAGAACTTTGCTCAGTTTGACATGTATTGCTTTGTCCGACTCACCAGGGGTTGCCCTGTTTCCGCCGTTGCTTGTGGGATGGTTTTGGGAAGTGTCAGCCTTGGTCGAGGCGTCCGCACGTGCTAACCCAACTTAAGCTTTCCAGTTTGCCTCTCTCGGTCTGTGTCGGTCTCTCGCTTTCCTCTGTCGGCTTCAGTGAGTTATTGTTTGGCTTCTGGGGGTCTTTCAGGAAAAGGATAGCGCGACTTGTTAGGGGAGCCTGGGGGCTCAGCCGTCTTGGACCTGCTCCGTGTCGAACCAACGGAAGAGGAATGACGAAAGAAAGAGGGAAGTGATGTGATGAAATGGGCCGCTGCATGGCGGTGCCATTCGGGGCACTTTCGCAGCATGACAAAGCAAGTTAGGACATCACAGCGCGGCGACCAGAGCGAAGTATAATCGCAGAGTTTCAGCATGCCTCAGCGCTACCGAACCTGTTGCAGCTCCGCCAAAGGACCTTTCCAGAGGCATCCGGCAAGAAGGCGTGGTCTGGTCCAGAAGAGGGGAGAAGGTTTGAACTTTGCAAAGGACACGGCTTTCGCAGGGTTCACTGGGTTCATGATGATTCATGCCGCCATCTGCGCCGAATTGTCAGAGGTTCTCACTATGGAGCTGTTTGCCGGCGTGCCCCTCACCGACCTCGAAGGTGCCGGGCCGATTGAATGTGCCTGCTTGCCGCCCCGCGCCGCCTTGCCCCTACGCCGCCTCGAAATCCGCAGAAGTCCACGGCCAGGGATCCGCCAGTACAGCCGCAACCCAGAGCAGACATTGATCAACGCCTTGAATGCACCGCCCTCAAGAATCTGTTGCCGTGTGCTGCCATATGTTAGTCCGCGTGATTTGTGATTTTTGTCCAAGTTTCCAGGTTTGGTCGCTCTCGGTGAGGGCCTGCGAGATCTTCCATGCAGATGCGCAGACCTGAACATGCGCAAATGGTTGAAAGCCCACCAAGAAGTCTTTAACGGGGCGAGGCGAACCACTCAAGAAGAAGCGACATAGACCATGTGCAAACAAGCCCTTTTCTACTCGGCTCTGCAGACATGCTTGCTTTCAGCAGAGCCAATTCCGAGGTGCATGCAGGAAACCTCCTTGTGCTGCAGGCAGGGTAGGGACATGCAGGGACAGGGACATGGCCGGGAGGAAGCCGTGCAGAGTTTCTTGGGAGCGTTACGTCTGCAGGATGGCCGTGTCGCCTTCATCGACTTCGGCATAGTCGGGCGCATTCCGCACCAGCCCCATAAATCAAGCTCCCAACCCGAAGAAAGGGGGCGCAACAAGACATGATGTGGATGAACAACGAAAACAAATTGCACATAATTGTAAACGCTTGCGCGCGCCGCCTCGGCAGCCGGGCTGGCAGGCTTTCTGGGATAGGCCTCAAAACAGGGGTCAGGCACCTGGGGGGTTCGGGGTCCCAGGCGGTTTTTGCAGCTCCTCCAAGCGATGGGGGGGCGGTCCCAAATTTGGGGAGGGGGGGGGGGGGGTGCGGATCTGTGTCTGCTTGTTCCAAATGCTTCTCGGCAGGAAGCCGAGGCGGCTTACACCACAATACACAACATACAAAAGTTGACGAAAATCCTGTGGAAAAAAATCTGCTTTCCCTGGTCTTCCGAGGCCCAAGATCTGGTCAGCCGTGGAAGGCCTCGTCCTGGCCTTTGCTGCCAACGATGCACGCGGCATGGCCCGGAACCTCATCGCTCGGAGCCCCAGAGAGAAAAACAGAGAAAAGGAGAGGTCCCCAGACAGAAAAAAGAGAGACAGCTCTCAGAGGTCTCACTCTCCTCTCGCTTGTTGCCTCTCTCTCTCTCTTTGTTGTTTTTTTTCCTCTCTCCCTCTTCTCTCTCTCCCTCTCTCCCTCTCTCCCTCTCTCCCTCTCTCCCTCTCTCCCTCTCTCCCTCTCTCCCTCTCTCCCTCTCTCCCTCTCTCCCTCTCTCCCTCTCTTCCTGGAGAGGAGCTCGCGCTCGCGCTGCGCCTGCTCTGCTCTGCACTCTCTTTTTGAGGCCATGGGGGCCACCGACACTTCGGTGGATGAGTCTGCCTTGGCCTCCGATGTGGCCAGCGTGCTCTCAAGGAAGAGAAGCGAATTCTCTTTGGAGTCTTCAGAAAAGGCTCTCGCAACTTTTGTGTGGGGCCTTGCGCAGGATTGCCGGTCTGGAGCCTGAGGCCTCTTGGGGCTATGCTGGCGGAGAGAGAGAACGAGAAAGAGCAAGAGCAAGAGCAAGAGAAATTTGCGAGCTTATTTCGTTTGCATTGGATTCTCTTCACATAAGTGTTGTCACTACGGTCCGGCTATAAGAGTACTTTTATGGCCCGGTAATGAAGGCCCAAAGCGTTTCTTCGTTCATTGCAATTGTTATTCTTATTTTTGGGTCTCTTTAAGCATGAAAGGGGCCATGAGTAGAAATACAATGGGGGCCCCTTTGAAACCTCAAAATGCTGTTTCCGAAATACTAATTCACGCACATATCGTTTGTAGTTGGACCACGGCTGGTAGCGGCCGTGGTGTTTCATGTGAACTTCAGAGTTTTTTCAGGGTTCGGTTAGGGGGTTTGGCCGGGGGGGGCGGTGGTAATACCGTCCATTCATATGGCGACCTTGCTTTAAACATTCGTAGTTGCAGCGTTTTTGCTTCTCTGCACAACATACTGCACAAGCACTTTGACTTTTCTGGAACAAGACGCGCGGTCACACGTGTTCATGCCTCTGGCGAGCAGGCCCAAAACACTGGCATTTGCAGAATTTTTAACCCTAAACCCCAAAATTTTTGCTTCTCTCCACCACATATTGCACAAGGATGCTTGATGTTTTTGGAACAAGACACGCAGTCACAAGCTCTCATGCCTTGGCGAAGATGCCCAACACACTGATATTTACAGATTTTTTTTGGCTCTCTGTACAACATAGCACAAGGACGTGCAAAGACAAATATTTTGGACTCGCAAAGCTTCCTGCAGAAGTTGGCCACGCTGTGCTGAGAAAATTGAAGCCAAAGCTGTCAGAACCGATTAGTTTTGCAAAGGCTTGTCCCGATGCTTTCAAGTAAGTTCCCCCCCGCAAAAACGCAACAACATGGTGTAAAGTCACTAACTCTGTAAAAGCATATCTATCCGAATGTGTTTCCTGTTTCACGGCCGTCCGTCTGCCGTGGACCTTGTAGTTAGTATTTTGTGCGCACTTTATGTTCACTTGTTCACCTCTATCTCCACGTCACGAACAACAATTTGAGAAAGGTTTTGGAAGAGGAAATCCTTTGTAACCGCTATGAGGACCCCAATATTGCATTATAAGCCCCATTCATGCGTTCCAAAAAACACGGGCGTTTAATTGTCAGAGAGAGAGAGAGTGTGAGAAAAAGAGGAGAGTGTTCTGGCGCCAGGAACGGGTGTGGGAACCAGACGAGTGCCTGAGTTTCGTGTGACGTTTTTTCAACTGAGAAGGTCGTGTTGCGAGGAGGAGGTGGTGGCCGCGTTGTAGCAGAGGCGTGGCCTTGACCCCTCTCGCTCCACCTCGCGCTCTCGGCCTCCCCTTCGCAGCAGGGCATAGCATGAGCGCAGATGAAAACGGGGGAGCTCTTTTCAGGTGGGGCTCGACAATGAACAGGTCACTGAGCTCTTGCTCGAGGCGCCCCAAGAAGAGCGCTTTCGAAGTGCTCGTTGCTCCTCGGCTTCTCGATGACTGCACAGGTCATCCGAGTTGCGGACAGCAATGGCCTGAAGCTGCCAAGAGAGTTTGCTCTGCTCGTGAAGCAGGCGCTCATGAACACATTCGAAACTTGGCACAGACCATCACGGGCCTTTGTTCTCAGGCTTTGTACTTCGATCGGTACACAAAGATCCTGGCGCCAGCCAAGCCCCCTGAGTGTACCGCTGTGCCTTAACCAGGTGCTCTTCTCTCCCTGCTCCCTGTCTCCCTGTCTCCCAGTCTCCCTGTCTCCCTGTCTCCCTCCCTCCCTCCCTCCCTGTCTCCCTCCCTCCCTCCCTCCCTGTCTCCCTGTCTCCCTGTCTCCCTGTCTCTCTGTCTCTCTGTCTCTCTGTCTCTCTGTCTCTCTGTCTCTCTGTCTCTCTGTCTCTCTGTCTCTCTGTCTCTCTGTCTCTCTGTCTCGCTGTCTCTCTGTCTCTCTGTCTCTCTGTCTCTCTGTCTCTCTGTCTCTCTGTCTCTCTGTCTCTCTGTCTCTCTGTCTCTCTGTCTCTCTGTCTCTCTGTCTCTCTCTCGCTCTCTCTTTGTGGCAGCTTTGGCTTGCTCAGCGAAATAGCTGTCTTCCTCAGGACCTGGACCCACTGCGGGATTCACGGGTGTCACTCGGGAAAGGCCGGAGTTTTTTTGTTGGTAAGGTCTTGTTGCGATTGTGATTCTCATACGCGGCGCTGTGCAGCTGTTCTCATGATTGCAATGCCATAATCCAAGCAGAGAGTCCCATCCCTTTAGCCTGCAGATCCTGCAGCCATTTCCAGTCCCTTGAAGAAGCTGGGGGCTGATCTCTCAGCATCTGGGCGTTTGCAGCTCGGAGAGGGCCGGGATCGATGGGAGCTTTGCTCTCGGCGCCTGGAGCAGAAGGACGAGAAGGACGAGAAGGAGAAGAAGGAGAAGAAGGAGGGGAAGGACAGAGCTGTCGCAGCGAAGGCGACTTGGGAGGCCCTGAGGCCGAGCCGCGGAATCTGGAAGTTCTCGAGATTCAGTTGGAGGTTCGGAGCCTCGCGGGGGAGCAGATCAAACTGCCGGTCACCACAACAACGACCTGCGCAGACCTGGCCTCGGCCATCGAATCTCAGCTGGGTGCCCCTGCTCCACCTTTCAGTATTCGAATGCCGTTTACGTTGGTTTAAACGAGGTTTGCTTCTGAGCATTTGTGCTCCTGCAGAACTTAGGTTGCATATATCATACATGTCTCATACATACTGTATCTGCTGTAATCTCAGATAGAATCTCATGTGTCTTGTCCTCTCTTGGTGGGTGTCCCAGTGACGCAGGTTCCTCACAAGATTCGCTGGCTCTTTTTCTGCTCTTTCAAAAATAACTGTCTCCTCTGAGGCCTCAGTGCCGAGCTCCAGGACTGGGTCCTGGACTTCGCGGAGAGCGCCGAAGAGGGCGCCCCGAGGAGCGCTCCCAGGAAGCTTCGGCCGACCTCCGCCGAGGCTTTCTTGTCCGAAGCCCTGACCTCTTTGACGTCTCCTTCGCCTTCTTCGCCTTCTTCGCTTTCTTCGCTTTCTTCGCTTTCCTTGACCGTGTTGCATTTGGGCTTCACTCCTTTGGCTGCCTTGCCCCCGCGCTTCGCCCTCCGGCTCACTTCTACCCGAACGAGGGCAGGCGAGGCCTATCGGAGAATGTCCAGTGCCTTCGCCAGGCCTGAGCCATGTGTTAATCTCAGTCTTGCATAGTCTTGCATGGGTTGCTGTTGCACGGGTCATGCAAGGTTGCTGCAAAAAACTGCCTTTACACTACTGTTTCGTTTTCAGCTACAGGAAGGTTCAAGCATCTGGGCGTGTACCTTATACAAAGAATCGCCTAGTCTTGGTGTGCTATGTTGCCAGCTAGCACCGGGAAACCGCTCCTCGTGTCGTCCCACAAGAAATCAGTTGGGAGATCCCAGACGAGACCACACAGGATGAACGCATTCGGTTTGCCACCTGAGGTTGCCTTCTGGTAACAATGGCAGAAGACTGAATCGCATGCTCGGAGGCGAGAGAGAGAGAGAGAGAGAGAGAGAGAGAGAGTATGCGGGGGGCAGCAGTGCCCCACGCGATCGCCATGACAAAAGACGAGACGTGAAGGTCGAGTGGCGAGTGCTTGCATGGAGCAGTAAGAGTAAACCAGGATCTCGAGCCGAAAGTGGTTTGCTCGTTAGCGTCAATCGGGTTTGAGCATTGCTTCCCACAACGCGCGGGGGTAAGCTCATTCTTGTATCTAGGAGACTGAGAAACCCAGGATCTCGGGCCAAAGAGGTTGGTTTGGCTCATGAGCATGAAGGGGCTCCATGAGCGTACGACCAACAAAGCTGTGTAATGGAAGGTTTGCGCGTCCACCTGTTACTATGCACATAATCTTGGGAGTTGGAAAATGGAGCGCCTTCGCAAATGCTGCCCCTGCCCTTCTGCTACCTCCATGATGTTGTACATGCACCCCCTTTGTCAGCTTGTGTTACCTCCGTGGCGATGTAGATGCACACCAGCTGGTCGTGGAGCCTTGGAGGACCATGTCGTCCGTGTGCTGCGTGTTGTATTGCGCTTGGACGGCCAGAGCAACCACGTGTTCCTGTTGGAGCTGTACTGGACCTGCAGGAAGAACGACCATGACCAGTACATCTATGATATCAAGGCCCACACCGTAAAGGCCACGACAAGCCACTGGATGAGCGGATCGACAGAGAAGACCGAGGCTGTTCTTGAGGGTGTTTGAACATGTTTTGAGCGATGTTAGAGGAATCTGCGGTTCGTTTGTACCAGGCCCTGGCACATGACCCGTTGGCCGAGCTTGTGCAGAACTGGTGCGCTGCTCGCTGCCGCCGTCCAGATGCAGATCAACGCTTCTGGCGACTTGAGACCGAGACCGCTGTAGAACCAACCGAATGCGAACCTCCTTGCCGTGTCCGAAAGACAAGAGCAGAGCCTGGGCGGCCGAACTACGCGGCTGTGCCAGGTTGGTTTGTGGCACCAGCAGACTGCACGGAGCTGGTTTGCGAGGCTGCAGTTGGACCTGTTAAGATCTTGCGCCTGCTTGTCAACCAGGATCGAATCGGATGCTTTTTTGGTGGCATTTCCTGCGTGTCCCTGCGCCTCGCTGCGCTGCCCAAATTTGCGTAGCCCTAAATTTGCTTGGCAGGATGGGAAGCCCATCCGCGCGGCCTTGTGCTGCAAGCAAGTCAGCCCTTTGCATGAGCCATAGCTGCACCGATCTGTTTCTGTACTCATATGCGTAACCGTGTGAGAATACCTCCTCGTTTAGTTTTAGTGTGTAGCTTGAGCGCGTGCCATGTTTCAGTCATGTGAGAGCAGTTTTCACGGCATGATGTTTAGTTCTGTGACATGACTGCACAAAGGCGCCTCGAGTCGTAGGCCGGTGCGCGCCCGTTTCCAAACTGGTAGTGGAGCTGCAACTCCTTCACTGGAGGCAGTCCCAGCGGACACGCTGGGCATGACTTCAATTTTCAATTCCTCAGACCGTACGGCTGACGCAACACGACGACAGTGCTTGTATTGCAGCGGCTGTGATCGTGAGACACATGGGTGGTGTAAGCAAGCGGTGCCTTGGTCGTGACGGTAGCAGGACTATGGTATCGGCAGACAGCAAACGAAGCAGGAATTATTGTGACAAAGAATGGTATCTTCATCTACTTTGGCACCCCGCAGAGTTTTTCATGAGTGGGAGTTTAGAACACAGCTTAGTATTGCCACGTGTGAGCAGAAGAGTAGAAATTAGAAGAAGTAGTAAGTAGAGGGAAGACAGAGACAAGAGTCAGAAAGACAGTTCGTTTTCTCTTCAAGCAAGCCATAAGTATTTGGGTCTGCTCCTTTGGTCACTCTATGCGACTCGTATGCTGCGTTGCACATGCAAATTTAAGGCAGATACGCCCCACTCTCTTGAAAGCCGATCAAAGGAAGAGATCGAAGAGTTCGACGTGGAGCTCAGGAAGCTGGAGCCGGGCGAGCGTCCGTCTGGCTCGAACTAGCATTTGCAGCAGGGCGTAGCAGCACCGGAGCGACCGGTAGTGTACGTAGTGTACAGAGCCTTCTGCATTGTTGCTGTTAAAAAGAAGCGTCGGGCTTGGCAGCATGAGTTGAAGCGTATGATCTCGTGATTTTTTCGACAGTTACAAGGTTCGGGAGAGACGGATGTATCCTTTGCAGGTGCTCCAGATAGCCAGGTGATTGACATCTGAGAACCTCTGCTATCGTTCCGTTGCCACGCGATCGTGTCCAATTTTCGTGTGCCATCCTCGGCATCCCTCGTTTCATACGTTTCACGAAGCAGCAGTCACACTGTCGCTGTGATTCAGAGTGCGTTTTCGGGCAAGCGCCACATGCGGCGACTTCGACCCCCCGCAAGTCTGCGTTCATTGTCCAAGCATTTTGCATGTTGCTTCGCGGATTCTCTCTGTAAATGCTGATGTCAGGGAGGGGATGGCTTGCCACGTCTGCCATGTCAAGAAACAAATTCTCGATTGTCGCATACTTTGGCTTGAGCCTGGCACAAAGCAACCAGGCCTCGCTACCGAAGCTCCCCGAACCTGCCCTGGAAGGGAAGAGAGCGGAGCTCTCCCTTCCAGGGCAGAGTGCCGCTTTGCAATGGCCATGTCTCTTGCGTCCCGGTGCCTCTGTTTCGTCCTGCCCCTCGTGACGCCTGTGGTTGCGCTAGTAGAGGATGTGGAGGACATGTCCACTTTGCTGGAAATCCGCAAGCGCCGGGGCCTCGCATCGTTCTTTGCCACATGAGCAAGCGGGCGAGAGCTGGAGCGAGAGCGAGAGAGCGAGAGAGCGAGAGAGCGAGAGAGCGAGAGAGCGAGAGAGCGCGAGAGAGCGAGAGCGAGAGAGCGAGAGAGCGAGAGAGCGAGAGAGCGAGAGAGCACGAGAGAGCGAGAGAGAGAGAGAGAGAGCGTGGGGGAGAGAGGGACAGAGAGAGCGAGAGCGAGAGAGCGAGAGAGCGAGAGAGCGACAGGGAGATCATTTGTTAGCGGGGTTGCGTGTTCGCACGGGAACAAAGAGAGTTGTTTGAGCTTTGTTACGCTGTTTCGGTGAGGCTCTGTGAAGCGGCCGCTGTTGGTGATACACGCAGGGCTCCACAAAACCGGGACCACCTCCCTTCAGCCTCCCAGCTTAAATGACTTTCAGTGACTTACACTTAAGACCTTAACTTAAGAGTGCCTGAGCTGTTGAAGGAGAAAAGCCAGCACCGACATAAGCGATCTTTGCTGCGAGACTTCTGCTTTGGTTCTCACAGCTCACCCGCGACTTTGCTCACGTGAGGCTGTCCATGAACAAATGCAGCGTGCCTTGGCTGGCTCGTTTGTTGTCCCCATCGTCTTCCCCTCATGCTTGTTCGTCTCGAGAAGCAGCACCAAAGAAGGCGCCCCGTTTTCCAAGGAATGGGCCAGCAGCATGGGGGTGACTTCCTTGGTCTTGGAAGGCGAGCATGTATACTAATGTATACTGTGTGCTGCACACACAGCATGGCCAGGCCCCGGAACGATCCGATCCAAAACCTCTCCATGACAGGACAGCCGAAGAAGGTGAACCACAACTTCCTCGTGCACTTTGCGGAATCCTTGGGCTGGGAACTGCCCCTCTACAAAGAGAAGCTGGAGCTCAAAAACGAGACTGCCTACCTGAGGCCAGCACTATCCAGCACTCCCTGGCTAAGTCAAAAAGTGAAGCTGCGAAGCTCTAGAAGCTCTAGCTCGCAGAGCAGCTGAAGGACCTGGGAGCGGCTCCGGAATTGCGAGGAGCGGCACTTCGCGGGCCTGGCGCCCTGCCGGGCCCTGCTCTCCTCGGAGCTCTTCACCGAGGCCCAGACGGAGGCGCGACTTAGAGGGCGCTGCCTTCTGCACTCTCCCTGACCTTTCAACATACTCGATCTATATATATATGTATATAAATATGATATAGATTTGTATCATGAATGTACAAATGAAGTCATGGCGTCAACACTAAACAGCAGATGGAGTTCTGTCCGAAGTTGTCATGTGATGCAATCTGATGTGAAGACTCTGAAACTGAAGCGAAGAGAGCGAAGAGTCGACGTGAGGTTTGGCGGTCCTTGTTTGAGAAGCTCCCCAAGTGGGACGTGCGGGTCTTGGTCTTCCATCGCTACTATCCAGCCTGGCTACTGTCGCTCTACGGGGAGTATCAAAGGCAGCCCGAGCTTCGCAACTGTTTGGCGCATTTTCGCATGCTTTTCGTTTGCTGTTCTTTACTCTCTGTTCAGGGACTACATGGTGGACACAGCCCACAACCCCATGTCCCTGTTGGAGTTTGCTTCTTGGCCATGAGAAGACCCGCCCCGCGGAATCATTGAATCATGTTCGTGCCAGACGGGTCAGAAGTGTCAGATGTCCGTTGGAGGCATTGGAAGGACCGGGCGCACAGCTGTCACCCCGGCGCACCCTCGAACGCATCCAAGACGCGTTCGGCGCCTGCAAGGGCGGGGACACAGCGCAGTGCAGTGTGCAAGGCAAGCACTGTCAGCATCGTTTCTGTTTCGCACGGGGGCGGTTCGACGCAGACACAGACACAGATGCAACTGTCAGCATCTGCCAGAACCACATAGTGACGTAATGCAACTCTTGAGGTTATACCGAGCAGGTAGCTGTACCGACTGTGCTTCGTCGCCTTGGCATGCTGCCACATGCCGCGGAGGTGCTTCCTATGACCTCTTCCAGCATCAAGGCCTCTGAAACTCTTTCGCGTTCTGCTGCATTCTCTCCTGCATTGTCCTGCACTGTTCATGGAGCTTTCAAGCGGCTTCAAGCGAGGTTACGACCAATACGAATACGTCCTCCTCAATGTGACGCTGGCGCTTCGCGGCAAGGAGTTTCGGGCAGCATCCGCCTCGGTGCAGAATACATGGCAAGCCATGGTTTTCAGAGATCTCAGGAAATCTCAGGAGATCTCAGGAGATCTCAGAGATCTCGTGTTCTGGAGGGACGTGTTGTGTTTTGAGAGAGCGACTTTGGCCTCGTCTCTGAGGCCAACCGGAGCCTCTGGGAGAGATGCCCGGAGCGGAGCCTCATCCACGCCTCGCCGGCCAACCTGACACTGGCGCCTCGCTCTCTCTCTGCTCTCTCTGCTCTCTCTCTGCTCTCTTGCTCTCTGTCTTGCTATCTGTCTTGCTCTCTGTCTTGCTCTCTGTCTCTCTGTCTCTCTGTCTCTCCCCCTCTCTCTGTGCTAACTGCTAACTTTCCGAGCAATTCAACCAAACAAAATGCCTAATCTTGGACACATCTGTGTTCCCACACCATCTGAGGCTGTGGATATCGTCCGGCTTCTCAAGAATTCCCACCAAGCACGAGGCTGCACGGCTCCATTCCTGCTCTCCGCCTCGAATAAGGAAGTCTTGGATCTTGCCAACAAGGAGCGCAGGCAGATTACAAGCAGATCGCTTCACCATGCTCCCCCGGCTTCACCCCTCAGCACTGTCGCGGAAAGGACGCAGTAGAAAATGAGTTGCTAGGCGCACAAATGCAAGCGACCTTCTAGCTTTGAAACATCAGGCCTCTCGCAACCCCTTTTGGCCTTTTGGTGGGCCATGCCCACAGATGCGAGGGAATGCCGTGCAGCTTCATGTCTAGAGAATGTCCTTGTTGTTTTTGGAGAGGAGCTTTTGCCCGTGGTGTGCATGGACATCGGCAACCTCCTGGCGGATGACTCGGCGAGGCTCAGCCAAGTCTCAGCGTGTAGAAAGGGCGAAGGAGGGTGAGAAGGAAAGTCTGAAAGCGAGGATCACGACAGTGATCAAGAAAGCGGAGAGGGAGAGAGTGGCGGTGTGCGGGGTGTGGTGTGGGTGTGGCGGTGTGCAGGGTGTGCCTTCCATGCAGGTGGTTTGAGAATGCACGCCTGGCACCTCCGACGTACCACAAGGACTCGCAATTCTGCCAGATCAAGCAGCAGGCGCTGAAGCCAGAGCACTGGCAAGCGTGGCGAGGCCAAAGAAGTGTACGAGAGTTGGGTCTCCATGGCTGGGTTCTTCTTGGTTCTAACTGCGGTTCTTTTTTGCAGATCACCAGCCCCCGGGCCCAGCATTACAAGAATCTGGAAGGAACTCGCACAATCACTGCTCGGGCACACTACGCAACCAGCATTTGTAGCCGTTCCCAGACTTCCGGGAATCAAGTCCGATGTTCTGGGGTCTCGTGCGAAACCGCCCCCAGGATGCATGCGCTCATCGGCACCTGTGACGGCGACACAGCAGAAGTCAAGCCTTCGGAAGCCGAGGAAGCCGAGGATGTGGAGGATGTGGAGGATGGTGAGGAAGCCGGAGATGCCGATGCCGGAGATGCCGATGCCGGAGATGCCGGAGATGCCGGAGATGCTGAGGTCGGCACGGAGGGCGCGAAGGGCATCAGAAGCATCAGAAACATCAGAAAGCGCTCGTGGATGGCGAGGAGCTTGGAAGGGAAGGGCCTCAGTGACCAGAGCCACTTCGGCCGCAGCTTGGTCGGAGGAGTGGTCCCAGTTGGCCTGGGTGCGCTGCCGTTGAGCTCCGAGTTGAGCTCCGAGTTGAGCTCCGAGTCGGAAGTGGAAGCGGAAGGGGGGAAAGCGGATGCCGGTCGCAGCTTCTTCATCCAAAGCCCTCAAAGCCCCAGAGCACGAGAGAGCAGCATGAGCTTGCCGAACTTTCCGAGATCCAGAGAGACTCCAGCTTCAGCCGCTTCAGCCGCTTCAGCCGCTTCAGCCGCTTCAGCCGCTTCAGCCGCTTCAGCCTTTAGTTGGGGGACTTTAGGCACTTTAGGCGCTTTGGGCATCGAGGGTGCGAAGGCGAAAGTGGATTCCGTGGATTTCTCGGAGCGTTCCTTCGCCGCACCCCTGCCCGGCCTGCCCGGCCTGCCGCTGAGCTCCAGGGACTCCAGCCTGCCGCTGAGCTCCAGTCTGGGCGCTTCGAGCAGATCGAGCGATAGCACAGGCACTTGAGTTTTTTTTTTTTTTTTTTTTTTTTTTTAAATTTTCAAGCGTTCTGATCAATTTCCATGATCCCGCGGTCAGGCACAAGCATCTTCGGGGAGCCTGCGCAAGCTTCCGATGATCGCTTCTCCCCGAACTTTGCGGACTCGGCCGGTGGCCTTCCGGGGCTTTTCCAGCCCTTGGAGACCTCATCTGAGCTGAGCCAGCTGCAGCTGGCCACGGCAGTGACGAAGCACAAACACACGAAGCACACGAAGCACATGAAGCAAAGGAAGCAAGACAAACAGGGATCGAATCCGGCCGGCATCATGCGGGTTCAGCTTCCGCAAGCACGTGGCCTCAATGAATACGAGAGGAAAGCGGTAGATCCAGGGTCAAGGGTGATGGCCAAGACGGCCAAGACGGCCAAGACGGCCAAGACGGCCAAGACGGCCAAGACGGCCACGTTCTCGCAGGCACGCCAGGCACAGAGGATGCAGAGGACGCAGAGGATGCAGAAGGGCGCGACAGTGGCGACAGTTGCGAAAACTTCGAGAGCTCCTCCCAAAGCCTCTTATAGACCGAGGGCCCATGAACCCCGCTTTGGGAAGAGTGAGGCGCCCGTGCCTGCGGCGCCTGAGGCCCCTGAACACACTGAAGCCTCCGCAGTCGATGAAGTCCCTGAAGCCGATGAAGCCGATGAAGCCGCTGAAGCTGCTGAAGTCTCTGATGCCGATGAAGCCGCTGAAGTCCCTGAAGTCGTTGAAGATGCCGATGCTCAGCTAGAGTTGACGCGCTTGACCAAGGCCTCGACGGGTCTGGACGAGGACGCGGCAAGTGCGGAGAGCGCGGAAAGTGCGGAGAGCGCGGAGAGCGCGGAGAGCGCGGAGAGCGCGGAGAGCGTGGAGAGCGTGGAGAGCGAAGCGCATGACGGGCTGCTGGACCACCTCGATGGCCTCCCGAAGCAAAAGCCGGGAGTGCCTGGCCTCGCGGGCGTCTTCAGCGACGAGCAAGGCCGTCCAACTGCAGGCCTCCCCGTCGTCAAGGTCCTTGAGACATCTACTGTCTGAGACCCCACTGTAAGTGAGGCCAGACTTTCAACTTAAACTTTAACGCCCAATTTTTGTGAGCTGCTGTCGCAACTCATGTTTAGCTCGGCGCTTGCCCAGCCTCTCCAAACGGAGGGCAGGGTTGGACAAGTCAAAGTTTGTGGAGACACTGCAAAAAACGATGCAAAGAGAAAGCGAATCCAACATTGACCATGAGGTCCTAGAGTCTATGCACCGTATGTCACTGTAGGCAGACAGTTCTGGGCACACCATGTGCAGTTCAAGCTTGCGAGCACGTCGCCACATCAAGTGGCTGAACACGGGAACAAGTACCTCCGAATATGTGAATCGTGTCCGCTTTGTGGCTCCCAGCGGCGGCAACGGGGACTCGACCGGCCACAGGCAACCACAGGCAACAGGCAGCTAGGCACACTGCCCGGCGCCTCCTTTCCCCAAGCACACGGCCCCAGTAATGTTTCGGAGCTCAGTGTACAGTGATGGGCGGTCACCTTCGGGCTGTGTTGAGGCCTGGCAATGACGGAGATGGATGGCATCATCCGTGAGCACGAGGTGAGGAGCTTGTCATTGAACGCAGTTCTGCTATGCCATTGATTCTTTAACGCTTGCGCGTGCCGCCTCGGCAGCCAGGCTGGCCCAACACGGGGTGTAGTGTGCTCACCGCAGACGAAAGAAAGCCAAGTCCTATGTCAACTTGGTGCAGCACTACAGAGAAAGGGAGTGAAGGTCCCACGCGTCCCAGAAGGTGCTTTAGAGGGAGATTTCAGTACGCGCTCCCGGGCACTAGCGCTTTTGAGCGTGATCTCTACGAGGGGTCCACGGATTGCGGCTCCTTCAAGCGGTTCGGGCCTGGGGAAGGGCGGGGGGGGGGGGCTGGGGGAGGTGAATTTGTGGAATGGTTGCGAAGCGGGGAGACCTGATCCTGGTGCTTGTTCTAGGCGTCTCTGGGCTGGAAACCGAGGCGAGTTAAATTCCGCATGCGTCGCTCATGATCGCTTGTCTTGTTTTGTCTTGTCTCTCTCTCACGCTCTCTCACGCTCTCGCTCGCTCTCTCTCTCTCTCTCTCTCTCTCGCTCTCGCTTTTCTCTCTCTCGCCCTATCTCTTTGCCATCTCAAGCTACATTTCAAGCTCTGTCTCAATCATTCCTCGATCTCAAGGTCTACTTCGCGACCCTGGCAGAGCAGGCAGAGCGCTACGACGAAATGGCGGAGCACATGCGAGCGGCTTGAACCTAAGCTCGGGGTCGGCGCAGAGAGGCTTAAAAGGCACTCACTTCACAGCTTCTCTCTTCTGAGTCTCCCGGGACCAAATGTGTTCGCAGACTTTTGCCGCCTTCCTGCTATGCCATGAACTGCATGTAAGTCCAGGTAACCATGCAGGTGTGGCCGCTACAGCCCTGAACCGTCGAGTTTGTATCTGGATGTCAATTTGCAGAAGAAGTTCGCAGCGTGTTTCTTCCCTCTGAGTCGTTTCCACTTATTTTTTTTATAACTCGTCTCCTTCGCGTGTGTGTCATAGAGAGGCCGCACTCTTCGAGCAGGAGCTGGACGCCGAGGCGCCGTGGCTCTTCCCTACACCTGCTGCACCACACACACACACTCTCTCTCTCTCTCTCTTTCTTTCTCTGCAACTTTTCCTTGCTTGTGCTCTCCCTTGCGTTCTCTTGTACATTGTTCCCTTTACGTCTTCTGCGCCGCCATCTCTCAATGGCGGTCTCGCTCGGCCTCTTGACGGGAAGTCGCGTCTCTCTTCTCTCTTCTCTCGCCTTTTCTCAAAGATTTCTCAGGAAAGGAATCTCCTAGCAGTGGCCTTCAAGCAAGCGGCGCCTGGCTTAAGAACCAGTTTTTTGAGCTTGGGACTGAGGACTTGGGCAACGTAGCGGCGTGTCTGTGCGAGTGGTGCCAGCGTGCCAGCGAGTGGCAGTGAGCGCAAAAGCGCTTCGTGTCACGAGGTGGGTCAGCGCAGAGTTGCTTGGCGCATCGTTTGTGCTGCCGAGCAGGAGGAGCAGGCCAAAGGCTTAATGGTGAAAAAAGGCTCTCAAGGCTTCTCTTCCTGGTGGGAATGTCTCTGTGAGGCCAAGGGCAATCACATGACCACAGCAAGTGCCCGGGGCTACCGGAAGAAGGCCAAGCTCTGCTGAGAAGGGCGGCTGGTGAGTGGCATCGTTTTCGCCATTCGCCAGATCGAAGCCGAGCTCACAAGCTTATGCCAGACCATTTTGGTCCGGCCCTTAAACGAACTGCAGTTCCTGTTCCGAGACACTGCAAGTCACCGCAGTCACCAGTGACCAGTCTGAATCTGTTCACGGAGGCGCTACTGACAGACAAGCTCATCCCGGGTGCCACCACAGCGGAGGCCAAGGTGCGTGCTGCGAAAAAGAAGCACGAGCATCCAGCATGCCTTTCCCCCTTCCCTTCCCCTTCCCCCCTTCCTTTCCTACCCTTTCAGACTTGTGTTTCGGAGGGCACCCCAAAACTTGCGTCATCTTGCGTCAGATGGTTCTCTGATGCTCATGCCCCTGGCCCTCTTCATTCTTGCTCCCTCTTCGCAGTTTTCCTGGGTCCAACCCAAGTCAGGAAAAAGTAATCCGGGAATCAGTTGCAGGTGTCCTACTACAAGGCGCAGGGCGACTACTACAGGTGCGCACCACTGCGCTCTTTCAAGGATCGTTTAGTGGATGTTCCATTTGAGAAGGCTTCGTGGATAGCGAGGTACATGGCTGAAATAAGTGACGACATGGATCGGACGCGGGCCACGACGGCAGCAAAAGCTGCTTACGAGGCCACTGGGAGCTCTGCTGGCAGCTGTTTTCCAATAAGGTTCCAATAAGGCAAAAAGTCCTTCACGTTAGATGCTGCAACACGACGTGCACCAAACATGATGTAATGCAATGAAAGCAGAGCCAGGACGGAACCAAGGTGGCTGAGACTTCACTGAAGGTGACCAGCCCCTTTCGCTTGGGCCTTGCAAGGAGCCCAGGCGGTGTCTCAGACAGGGTCTTGAACTCATTGCATGAGGAAGGCAGTTTGCACGCGGGCACCTTGTGGCACCATCATATATTCTACGTGCCAGCGTTGACGCTCCCAACCCTTCCCTTCCTGTTTTTGCCACATCCCTTCTCTTACATAATCCCTTCCCTTCCTTCCCTTCCTTCCCTTCCTTCCCTTCCTTCCCTTCCTTCCCTTCCTTCCCCTTCCTTCCCTTCCTTCCCTTCCTTCCCTTCCTTCCCTTCCTTCCCTTCCTTCCCTTCCTTCCCTTCCTTCCCTTCCTTCCCTTCCTTCCCTTCCTTCCCTTCCTTCCCTTCCTTCCCTTCCTTCCCTTCCTTCCCTTCCTTCCCTTCCTTCCCTTCCCTCCCTTCCCTCCCTTCCCTCCCTTCCCTCCCTTCCCTCCCTTCCCTCCCTTCCCTCCCTTCCCTTCCTTCCCTTCCTCCCCTTCTTTCCCTTCCTTCCCTTCCTTAAGTTCCCTTCCTTCCCTCCCTTCCCTCCCTTCCTTCCCTTCCCTGCCTTCCCTGCCCTTTCCCTTCCCTTCCTTCCCTTCCCTTCCCTTCCCTTCCCCCTTCCTTCCCTTCCTTCCCTTCCTTCCCTTCCTTCCCTTCCTTCCCTTCCTTCCCTTCCTTCCCTTCCTTCCCTTCCTTCCCCTTCCTTCCCTTCCTTCCCTTCCTTCCCTTCCTTCCCTTCCTTCCCTTCCTTCCCTTCCTTCCTTCCCCGTCCTTCCCTTCCTTCCCTTCCTTCCTTCCCTTCCTTTCCCCTTCCTTCCCTTCCGTCCCTTCCTTCCCTTCCTTCCCTTCCTTCCCTTCCTTCCCTTCCCCTTCCTTCCCTTCCTTCCCTTCCCTTCCCTTCCCTTCCTTCCCTTCCTTCCCTTCCCATCCCCAGACCCCAAATGTTCAGGCGCTGAACCACGCAGTTTTTTACTACGAGGCGATCGCTGTCTTGCAGAAGCCGGAAACCAGCAAGTTGCGGTTGCTCATACGCTGCAGTTGCTATAGCAGCCAAACTGCCCCACATCTGGGCGCGCACGCCTTCTCTCCCGGCCCAAGGAATCACACAGCAAAGGAGAAGCCTTCTCTCCCTGAGAGCAGATTTCAGAGCTCAAAAGGCAGTTCCCCGTGGAGAAGAGCTCCGGCTTCGGAGCCATTTTCTCGGAGAGAGACAGACAGAGAAGAGACTCTCAGAGGGAGCCCCGCAAATTCACATATTAAAGTAGTGAAGTCAAATATCGAAATCACGCATTGAAGGCAGTCACGAGTCAAGAGTGCTTTCGCATGAAAGCACAGCCGGGCGCCACAACATGCGTCCTCCTGGTTCTCAATTGCTCTACTCAAAGCCCCAGGCACGGTAGCCGTGTCAAGCTTTGTAGTGCTTTCTTATCGGTTTCAGCACGTTGCACGCGTTGGTGCTCTTCGCAGGCCGGTGCAAGATCTTCCTGGAGGACGCTGCAGCGCGCGCTGCCGAGGTGGGAGAACCTCAAAAGAACGGGGGGGGGGGGGGCGAAGCTCGCGGGAAGGGGAGGAGCGTCGCGCAGCCCACCCGAACCGCGCTCTGCTCTGAGGGAGACGGTGCAGCTGGGGAACGCTGTCCGTGTCTTCGTCAATCTGGATGTGACAGCCCGTGCACCGTTCCTGTCCTTTATCCGAAAGGCACAAGGGCGCCAACTAATTAGCATGGTTTAGGGGGTTTGTCGGGCTTCTTGATCCGTGGCTTGGGCGTTGGCTGTCCGATTCCTTTTTGGAGGTTCAATGTGTCAGCCTTGCTCTTCAGCCTTGCTCTTCAGCCTTGCTCTTCAGCCTTGCTCTTCAGCCTTGCTCTTCAGCCTTGCTCTTCAGCCCTCTCTTCACCATTCTTTGACACTGACTGTGGGACGCTCTTTGTTAAGAGGTGGCCTCGGCGGCGCTGGTGGCCGTCTTCGCCGTGCGGCTACGCCGAGGAAGTTGTGCCCTCAGTGTCAAACATCTCAACAGACTAGGGAGCTGCCAGGGAAGCTAGTCTGTTTACCCCTTCTTCCCCCCTCAAACCTCGGTCCCTTTTAAGGTCTCCAAGGCTTACTAGGGCCTCCCAGACAGGCCAGGCGTAAACAGACTAGGGAGCTGCCAGGGAAGCTAGTCTGTTTACCCCTTCTTCCCCCCTCAAACCTCCCTTAAGACTCCCTTTTAAGGTCTCCAAGGCTCACTAGGGCCTCCCAGACAGGCCAGGGCGTAAACAGACTAGGGAGCTGCCAGGGAAGCTAGTCTGTTTACCTCCCGCTTCTTCCCCCCTCAAACCTTCCTAAGGGTCCTTTTTAAGGTCTCCAAGGCTTACTAGGGCCTCCCAGACAGGCCAGGCGTAAACAGACTAGGGAGCTGCCAGGGAAGCTAGTCTGTTTACCCCTTCTTCCCCTCTCAAACCTCCCTTAAGACTCCTGTTTAAGGTCTCCAAGGCTCACTAGGGCCTCGCAGACAGGCCAGGGCGTAAACAGACTAGGGAGCTGCCAGGGAAGCTAGTCTGTTTACCTCCCGCTTCTTCCCCCCTCAAACCTCCCTAAGGGTCCTTTTTAAGGTCTCCAAGGCTTACTAGGGCCTCCCAGACAGGCCAGGCGTAAACAGACTAGGGAGCTGCCAGGGAAGCTAGTCTGTTTACCCCTTCTTCCCCTCTCAAACCTCCCTTAAGACTCCTGTTTAAGGTCTCCAAGGCTCACTAGGGCCTCGCAGACAGGCCAGGGCGTAAACAGACTAGGGAGCTGCCAGGGAAGCTAGTCTGTTTACCTCCCGCTTCTTCCCCCCTCAAACCTCCCTAAGGGTCCTTGTTAAGGTCTCCAAGGCTTGCTAGGGCCTCCCAGACAGGAGCTGCCAGGGAAGCTAGTGAGTTTACCCCTTCTTCCCCCGTCAAACCTACCTTCAGGGTCCTTTTTAAGGTCTCAGACTAGGGAGCTGCCAGGGAAGCTAGTCTGTTTACCCTTTCTTCTCCCCTCAAACCTCGGTCCTTTTTAAGGTCTCCAAGGCTTACTGGGGCCTCCCAGACAGGCCAGGCGTAAACAGACTACAGTAGGGAGCTGCCGGGGAAGCTAGTCTGTTTACCTCCCCCTTCTTCCCCCCTCAAACCTCCCTTAAGGGTCCTTTTTAAGGTCTCCAAGGCTTACTAGGGCCTCCCAGACAGGCCAGGGCGTAAACAGACTAGGGAGCTGACAGGGATGTTTACCTCCCGCTTCTTCCCTCCTCAAACCTCCCTTCAGGGTCCTGTTTCAGGTCTCCAAGGCTTACTAGGGCCTCCCAGACAGGCCAGGCGTAAACAGACTAGGGAGCTGCCGGGGAAGCTAGTCTAGGGCCTCCCAGACAGGCCAGGGCGTAGACAGACTAGGGAGCTGCCAGGGAAGCTAGTCTGTTTACCTGCCCATCCCTCTACAAGCGAACCTAATGCAGTTGTGGCTCCTGGGCTTGCGGAAGACAGGCGAGCATACTGCTTGTCATGGTAAACACCAAAACGTGGGCCGTGGGAACAAAAAAACTTGGCGTGGTTACAAATTACACCCCCTTGACGTGGCTACAACCCGCCCTCTAACATCCCAAGACATGTGCAGCCGATCGGCCGCAATGTACAGACATCATGCCGGCAGCTGGTGGTGGTGATGTGCTGCGGAAAGCTCGCTCTCTCTCTCTCTCTCTCTCTCTCTCTCTATCTCTCTCTTTTTGCAAGCACATTCTCCCCACGGGCATCGGGAGTGTTGTGTCGAACGCCACAACAAGAGTTCTCCATTTCCTGTCGCGGCCTAACAGATTCGGCGCCGCAACGAAAGTCCAACTTCAATTGCTCAATTGTTATGCTCAGGCAACGTGCGGAAATAAAGAGCTGACGGACCAGAGGAACCGGCAAATATGATTGGAGTTGATACCATCTGGCATCATGTACTCAAAACTCAAGATAGCACTTTCACATAGAACAGTCATGAGTGCTGCAGGCTATTTGTAGTCAGAATGAACACATGCAAGGATACCATCAGGAAGAAGATGCCCATCATCGGCATGTTTGAGCATTCTTGTTCATCATCCGAGAGTCCTTTGTCTAGGCCAAGAAAATGTTGCAGCGCACGTTTTTTCAAACTTTACTGCAGGTACAAGGTGGGAGCGGTTGCGACATGCGCTTCTTAAGAGTTGTGGCAGTTTTCCATGCGCATTTGCGCGACGATGGCTCGCCTTCTTGTGTCACTTAAGCGACCAGCTTCGCCACGTGCAACAAGGGGGGTTTGGTTGTTTCATGTCTTCCTTTGTCTAGGATTTGGAGATGTTCTATGATGTAGGGTTGGGGCCTGTAAAGATCAAAGCAAGCCAAAAAGACGTCAAAAAGATGCTTTGGCTCTTCGATGCCAAGGGCCCCACGAGGCGGCGTCGCCCATCAAAACTGGAGGAGCAGCCCGCACGGTGCGCAACAAGTCAGTGGCGTGTGCCTTTGCCTCAATTCAACGCTCTTTTCGCGTTGGATTTCGCCTACCCACATCTATCTTCTTGATTTTGACATCTTCGTTACCTCTTTCTTCTTCGTTGTCAACAGTTGTGCAACGGTTGCAGTGAAAATGTGAGGCGTGTCCAATGTGGATTTGCAGCGTGTCGCCCTCGGCGACCTCGATTCATGTGCGTCGCAGTCCCGACATGACATGGCTTCGTTCAAGGCTTCAAGGCTCCTTACCCAAAATTACCCCACTAAAAGGGAACTGTGAAATGACTGAGAGGTGCAGGCGTGGCCCGCAGCCGGATTTTCACCTTCGAGACAGAGACGACGTCGGAAGTCGCAGCAGACGCCCTGCTGACCCTGCTGTACAGCAAGCATGCCGGCTCTAGGAGAGTCTGCGCAGACTGCACGGTAGGGTGGAGCATGCTGTGCGTTTAACAGGTGCTCTTTGTTGAGAGGAAAGTTTAGCTTGACATTATGGACATTCTTTTTTCTATGTGGAGAGGAACTACTTGATCTCCGGGTCGACGTGGACGGCGCGGCAGCAGTGGTTCCGGGAGCTGCTGGAAGTGTCTTCGCAAACCCGGACCGTGTGGCTCTCGGGGACCTCCTTGCGGCCCCAACCGGATCCGAAGCGGAAGGGCTTCGTCAGACCAGCCAAAAACTTCTCCAACGCAAGAGACAGAGAGGGGAAGCCATGGGGAAAAATCACATTGCGCTGTCTTGTCATCCCGTCATACACATTCATATACACATTGCATGCAGTGGGCAGATGTGTCGGGGTTGTCGTGCAGGTCATGAACGCGCCGACGGAGGCTGTCCGAATCGGGCGCAAGGCGCCCTTCGGCACAGGAATGCTGGGAGTGTCACGGAGTGTCTCGATTCCACAACCTTTTTCCGCCAAGAACATCTCGCATTTGCAAGTCATCCATCGCACCTCCGTATCTTGGCATGCTTCTATTCTGCAGAGATTTGTCTTTATCTACAAATAGATGCCTTTTCGATAACTGCTCGATCAGTCGCATCTTCCGGCCACATAGTACCAGTAGTTGGTAGTCAGAAGGATTATAGCAGGTTGCTCAGACGCCTATGTACGTAACTAGGAATAAGTTCGCTTTCTGCACGAATCTCAATGCCTCAATCTCACGGTCAACTCAACGCCTCAACATGCTTCAACCTTGAGTTTGGCAATGAACTCTTAGAAGCTGAAATAGAATTGTAGGCTGAAGCTCAGTAACCTCAGGAGATTAGGGATTTTGCTTAGCAAAGTGCAAAGCTCTGCACCTTGACTTACAAGATCGCAACCTGAGACTTGCGTGGGCAACTTCCCTTGTCCTGAATCTCCGCCAGGCTTTCGAGGATGCAGTGCGTGAGATTGACAACCTTGGCGAAGATGGTGCCAAGGAACATCTGCTGAATGCTCTACCGTTCCGCTGACGGCAGCGCTTGCAGCGTGATCAATCGTGTCTTTGTTCTTGTCCTTGTTCGTCGGCGTCCTCGCAGCTGTCGTCACTGTCGTCGTTCCTATTGCTTTCATGGAGCATCCAGCAAGGAATCTGCTCTGGTGATGCAGCTGCTCCGGGACAACATCACACTCTGGACAGCCAGCCTTTCGTACAGTGGTTCGTCAGTTCTGTGCCGCTTGCATGGTCTCTGCCTGTATCTAGCACCTGCTTGCAACTGCTTGCACCTGCTGGCCTGGAGTTCCAGGACGTCTGATCCAACTGGCTGAAGAAGAGACCAGTTGCTGTTTTGAATTTGCTGCACAGAGGAAAAAATGACTTCTCATCTCGGTTGGGTTCGGAAGTTTGGCAGGTCACACTTGTCCAGGGTGGTGCTTCCAAGCCTTCCAAGTGCCTCAAGCTGTGAAGGCATTCCGAAGCTTTTGCAGTCGCCCAGTCGTTCCCCACACCTTCCCACACCTTCCCACACCTTCCCACACCTTCCCACACCTTCCCACACCCGCCCTGCCTTGTTTCTTCCACTCGCCTTGTGGCACAAAAAACTTTTAGCTGTTGCAGAAGCTCAGGCGCTGCTCGTTCCTTGGTGCTTTGGGGCTCTGCAACCTCAGTACCAAACGGCCGCCATGTAAATGTAGTGAATGTAGTGGGTCTTTCAGGCTGTCAGGCTGGCTGTGGTCCCGCAGGTGACGTTAGAGAAACATATCATTTTCTGTGCTTATTCCACATGACAGCAAGTCCATGTCCATGTTGCTTGAGGCACCGTGTTTTTCCCGAAATTGCAAGGGACTTCCAGCCTCATGCCCGCCATGACACACATGAAGCGACTTTGCAGGATGAGGGCATTGTATCTCGAGAATCGCAACACGCCAGTCCCAAATGCAAAATCACCGAGTTTTGGGTGGCGCTCGACGAGATGAAGGATGGCACAATGAAGACGGGACAAAAAGTTAGCCATGAAACTGGCAGAATATTTGCTGACACCAGGCAGGATACTTCTGACTAGCTCAGTGTTTCGGGCTGGTGCCTTGCTTTGTTGTGGATTACCTTCAGCATGCATCACAAAGATTCTCTTTCACCTCAGTACCCCTCTCAAGTGTATATATACATATTTAATGGCTACCGCCAGTGCCGCCGACCCCCTCCAAGGGGGGCCAAGGCACTGTGGGCTCCGGCCGCGGATTAGGTATATATATATATATATAGATAGATATATGCGCAGGGCTTGGTCAGGTTGTAGAGTTCAGGGGGGCGAAACATGGAGCCCTGATGCGCAGGGAGTTGGGGCAAACCCCAAATCTAAAACCGCAAACCGCAAACCCGAAACCCGCAACCCTGAAACCCCAAACCCCCAAACCCTAAACCCCCGTAACCAGGAGACTTGAACCTGAGGCCTCGACGTACACCCCAAACTCGAAACCACAAACCCGAACCCCTAAACCGCCGTGGCGGCGGAGACCATGGCGGAAGCGCCGGGCCGCCCAGTCAGGGTTTGGGATGCCGAGGAGGAGGGCTTGCAGATTTTCGGGGATAATGGAGGGTTGAGGCAGTCGAGACCTTGCAAGGCCTAGAGTTCAGCGTTTAGGGTTTAGGGTTCTGGCAAGCAATCCAAGCTCGTGGACATTCGCCACTTCCCAAAAATTCTGGGGGCAGGCATGCACTGGGGCCCTAAAGTCAGCTGAGAAGCCACATCCATGGCATGGGCCGTGGACCATGAGCCAATGGGGCCAGGAGCCATGGGTCCAGTGGGGGGGCGGGGTGCGTGGGGGGTGGGGGTGGGGGTGGAAGTGTGGAAAGGGTGGGGTGTTGGGGGTGGGGGTTGGGGGTGGGGGTGGAGCCATGGGGCCAGGAGCAAGGGGCCCATGACAAGCATGGGCGGCGGGGCGGGGTTGGGGGTGGGGGTAGCAGGGGCCAGAAAAAGAACCAGCATTGGCAGCCATGCAGCTCAAGGATGAAGAATGGGAGAGCCATGGGGGGGGGGCGGGTGCGTGGGTGGTGGGGGTAGGGGCGGAGAAGCCACCTGCTTGGGCCGTGGACCATAACCAATGGGGAGCCATGGGGCCAGGAGCCATGAGGGGCATGGGCGGCGGGGCAGGGTGCGCGAGGGGTAAGGGGTAGGGAGCTGGGTCCATGAGGGGTAGGTCAAGGGGATGGAGAGTGGGAGCATGGGCCAGAGAGTAGGCAGAGCTGGAAGGGTGGAGGGGAGCGGGCGGAGCGGGCGGAGGGCCTGGGCGTGTACTGGAGCCCAGCCAGGAGGCATGGGTCCAGTGGGGGGCGGGGTGCGTGGGGGGTGGGGGTGGGTGGGGGTGGGGGTTGGGGGTTGGGGGTGGCAGGGTGCGTGCGGTATGGGGGTTGGGGTGGAGCAGGGGCCATATATAGGACCAGCATTGGCAGCCATGCAGGTCGAGGGATGAAGAATGGGACCAGGAGCCAATGGGGCCAGGAGCCATGGGTCCAGTGAAGGGCGGGGTGCGGTGCTCAAGAGATGAAGAAGGGGACCAGGAGCCATGGGTCCATGAGAAGCATGGCGGGGTGCGTGGGGGGCTAAATTTGGAGTATGCGGAGCGGCGGGTGCGTGAGGGGTAAGGGGTAGGGAGCTGGGTCCATGAGGGGTAGGTCAAGAGGATGGAGAGTGGGAGCATGAGCCAGAGTGGAGTAGGCGGAGCTGGAAGGGCGGAGGGCGGAGCGGGCGGAGGGCCCGGGCATGCACTGGGACCCGTAAAGTCAGCTGAGAAGCCACATCCATGGGCCGTGGAGCATGAGCAATGGGGCCAGGAGCCATGGGTCCAGTGGGGGGCGGGGTGCGTGGGGGGAGTAGGGCGGAGGGCGGAGCGGGCAGCGGGCGGAGGCACTGGGCCCTTTAAAGTCAGCTGAGAAGCCACATCCATGGGCCGTGGACCATGGGGCCAGGAGCCATGGGTCCAGTGGGGGGCGGGGTGCGTGGGGGGTGGGGGGTGGGGGCTGGGGTCAGGAGCTATGGGTCCATGACAAGCCCAAGCGGCGGGGAGGGTGCGTGCGGGGTGGGGGGTTGGGGGGCATGGCGGGGTGCGTGGGGGGCTTGGGCAAGGGAGGGGCGGAGCGGGAAGGGTAGAAGTGGTGGGGGTAGGGCGGAGAAGCCACCTGCTTGGGCCGTGCACCATAATGAATGGGGAGTTATGGGGCCAAGAGCCATGGGTCCATGAGGGGCATGGGTCGTGAGGGGTAAGGGGTAGGGAGCTGGGTCCATGAAAGGTTGCAACAATTGGTCAAGGGGATGGAGAGTGGGAGCATGGGCCAGAGTAGGCGGAGCGGGAAGGGCGGAGGGCGGAGGGGGCGGAGCGGGCGGAGCGGGCGGAGGGCCCGGGCATGCACTGGGGCCCTTTAAAGTCAGCTGAGAAGCCACATCCATGGACCGTCGACCATGAGCCAACGGGGCCAGGAGCCATGGGTTTAGTGGGGGGCGGGGTGGGTGGGGGTGGGGGTTGGGGGTTGGGGGTGGCAGGGTGCGTCCGGTATGGGGGTGGGGGTTGGGGGTTGGGGTGGAGCAGGGGCCATATATAGGACCGGCATTGGCAGCCATGCAGGTCGAGGGATGAAGAATGGGACCAGCAGCCAATGGGGTTAGGAGCCATGGGTCCAGTGGCGGGGGGCTTGAGGGAGTATGCGGAGCGGGAAGGGTAGAGGTGGTGTAGGTCAAGGGTAGGCGGAGGGCGGAGCGGGCGGAGGGCCCGGGCATGCGCTGGGGCCCTTTAAAGTCAGCTGAGAAGCCACACGCATGGGCCGTCAAGGCCAATGGGGCCAGGAGCCATGGGTTCAGTGGGGGGCGGGGTGCGTGGGGGGGGTGGGGGGGGGGGGGGGGGGGGGGGG